GTCGCTCCGCCGTCCGTTTTCTCTCGAGAGGAATCTAGTTTCTCTAAAACGCGTGCTCCTGCGCTATCTAGACGACTAACTAATGGCGGCCACTGTGCAGCGCTTAGGGACAAGAGCAGGAAGGCGGTAAGGCGACTCGATTGATATTCGAACGACGCCACCGGCCATAATTCGGAGTATAATTTAACGGGTGCCGCTGCATCGCGCGGATGACTCTTCTGGCGCTCGTTTATGCAGACGACATGCGTCAGACTTCGAGGATACGCGTTCTTCGAGCGTCCCTCGTCAATATCCATAAGTTAGCGGACATCCGTCTTCGCGCACACACGCGGAATAATTTACAAGGATTCGAGATAATCGCGGCAAAATAACTCCGCCGACCGGCGCGAGGTAATAATGCAGGACACGAACCGACGCCGTTTCCTTTCGTCGATCTTAGCGATAAGCAACGACGGTTTCGTACATTAACCGCTCATGTTTTCTTATTTTAAGGATTTCCCGACGAGGGCGACATCGAATTCAAAATATCACGCGATGAAGTTGAGTCTGGAACGTCGAAAGCCCCGATGTACGAATCAGGGTAGACCCTTATACCTGGGTTTGTGTCGTAACAGAAACCCAAGATAAAACCACAGACGAGGTATAAGAGTGAACCTTTCGAGAATTTTTTTCTCGAAAGTACGTAGAATTTCGGGGCTATGTCTATTCATAAAAAATGATTGTAATTGACTCCTAAAGCCAAAAATAATTTTTTTAGAACGATTTGAAATTTTTTTTTCGCCGAAAAATTTCTGACCTACTCGGATTTTTTTCTCGAAAGTGGGTAGGAATTCGTGGGTATGTCTATTCACCAAAAATGATTGTAATTGACTCCTAAAGCTAAAAATAATTTTTTTAGAACGATTTGAAATATTTTAATTTCGCCGAAAAATTTCTAACCTACTCGAATTTTTTTCTCGAAAGTGCGTAGGATTTCGGGGGTATGTCTATTCACAAAAATTGATTGTAATTGACCCCTGTAGCTAAAAATAATTTTTCCAGAATGATTTGAAATTTTTCATTTTCACCAAAAAATTTAGGCACCCAGCCTATGACTTTCTTACGGTGTCTGGTATCTGACGGAATTCCTTGACCCTTTACGACTTAGATAACGAAGGGAGGGCTGGTTTTTCCAGTCCTAAAAACTCCCTGATAGTGGTCGATCTCAGCTCTGGCACGAAATAAACGTCCTTGTGCCAACCTAAGCTAGACCAAACGCTACTGTATTTACAAAAAAGTAACTCTGGACATAAATGCTATGCGATTAAAAGACGGGCAAAAAGTATACAATAGAAAAATATACAGTGGGCTTAACTGCGAGAAATATGTAACCAAAACGATTATGGTGATTACGGATACTCGAGGCGAAAAGTTTTAATGGCTGTTGGGGGAAAAACTTAAACCAACGCGCAGGGCGTAAATTGCCACGAATCTCGCAAAGACGCTAGTCACGAGTTTAAATTGATACGAGCGCGCGATCAGTTTGGAACAAAGGAATTTCGTGACGCGAGTACTCAACGTACCGCGTGTGTCTTAAACGCGCTTCCTGTTGGCTCGTCGAGCCATTGAAAGTCGTCCTTTCATCCAGTAAGAACCTCCGTGCGAATTCACGCGAGAATCGGAGATCAATTTTGTTCGCGTAAGCGCTGTTAGGCAACCGAGCTCGCGACTACAATACGATCATTCAAACGCGGAGACTTCGACGCCTGGTTGATACTGTTGCGCCAACGCGTCCATCTTGTAAGTCGCAACATTTAAAATTACAAATCACGGATGACAAACGAAATGGATCGAAACAAAATGGCGACGAATCAAAAGTCAGAAATAATGAATTGCATTACGCAAAATACAAGTAACTCGTGAATTGCAAACCGCGTCCAACATCACAGACCATATTGCGAATAGCGAGTAACAAATCACGAGCCATAAACCACGTAACGAGTCGCAGGCCGCAAAACGCGAATCGTTGGTCGTAAATCGGAAATTTGATACGAGTTATATCGAACATTGACCTTCTGTCGCGCGGACGAGCCGCATGTGCGACGAGAACTATTACGAACGCTGCAAACACACGGGCCGTGGTTCTAAATTGGTTTCGTCAATCGTCAATCAATTTGCTCGGCGCGGGTAACGAAAGGAGTTGCACCGACGAACGAGATGCACATTCAGCCGGTGAAGAAACGGATTTAAACGCAGATGCAAATTGAAGACCGTTTCGTGTCGTAACAACCGACACCGCGTCGAGAATAATTACGTACTTCGTAGCGAATGTATAGATGCATTTTTCAACCTTTAGCGAAATTACAGTCCACATTTCGTTGCGTACTTTAATAAATGTTAACGTTCGAGAAACTCTCAGAACAGTTCTAACAAATTGAACAAAGTAAATTTTAATACTGAAAAAATTTACTTCTATTTAGCAATGATGATTGATCAACGTCGATTTAAATAAAGTAAATAATATCAGGTTAAGTCTGATAATGCATAAAAATGATAAAGAAAGGTAACATTAAATCTTAAAAATTCGTTCGAACAATTCCTGAAGGAATGGCATCCCGATCGTAAGATCGAAGAATCGAGGCCTCGAAGTGGCTGTCGATTAGTCGAATCGATGGATAGAAATTCGAGTAAATCGCGATGATGAGGTACCCGAGAGGCAAGGATTGGCCGATCTTGGAATTAAAGCCTCTCGGCGATCTCCCCCGTAATTCGAGCCACGAAACCCGCAATTTTCATTGTCGACGCCGCTCGTTACGTCTCCGTTTTGCAAGAGATCCGCGGCCGTACGACATTATGCAATTTAACGACGAGTTCGTTCGCTACTCTTCCCTTCGTAAAAGTCAATCAACCGTATTGTGCGCCGACCGACTGGCGAGCAGCGACTGACTCGAAACTCATTTCTAACCCTAGACGTTTCTAAATATTTTAAATCGCTTTTCGTTATTAACGCCATAACATGATTTAATAATTCCGATATCATTCAAGAACAAAGTTTGTTAATATGTTGCATTATAATAATAATTCCTGAAAGTTACCAAAATAATCAATATTTCTTTCAATACAATTGTACAGGGTGTTCGGCCAACCCTGGGAAAAATTTTAATGGGGGATTCTAAAGGCCAAAATAACACGAAAATCAAGAATATCAAATTGTTGGTGGAGGCTTTGTTAAAAAGTTATTAACGTTCAAAGTTCCGCCCGTACTGAATTTTTTTCTCGAAAATGCGCAGGATTTCGGGGGTATGTCTATTCACCAAAAATGATTGTAATTGACCCCTGAAGCCAAAAATAATTTTTTTGGAACGATTTGAAATTTTTTTTTTCGCCGAAAAATTTCTGACCTACTCGAATTTTTTTCTAGAAAGTGGGTAGGAATTCAAAGGTGTGTCTATTCACCAAACATAATTGTAATTGACCCCTGAAGCCAAAAATAATTTTTTTAGAACGAATTGAAATTTTTTTTTTCGCCGAAAAATTTCTGACCTACTCGAATTTTTTTCTCGAAAGTGCGTAGAAATTCGAGAGTATGTCTATTGACCAAAAATGATTGTAATTGACCCCTGCAACTAAAACTAATTTTTTTTAAACGATTTGAAATATTTTAATTTCGCCGAAAAATTTCTAACCTACTCGAATTTTTTTCTAGAAAGTGGGTAGGATTTCGGGGGTACGTCTATTCACCAAAAATGGTTGTAATTGACCCCCGCAACCGAAAATAATTTTTCCTGAACGATTTGAAATTTTTTAATTTAATTGTTAATAACTTTTTAACGAAGCCTCCATCAACAAATTGGTACTGGCTTTGGATCTCATACAACACGGCATTTTCTAGGAACCTATTTACCGTGTTATAGGAGGGTTACCTGTACTTAGTTTAAAGACGATTGAAAAATTCTACATTTCTGGTTTCTTGTAAGAAATAAGTGAATTTTGACTCACCGCATTCCTCCAGAAATCATGCGGTTGAGTTTGAGGTTAAAGCTCGGGTGATCAGAATATCGTGTTTTATCTTCGTCGAAGTAACTATTTGCAATCGAAGACTTGCGTTTCGCGTATCTGCGTGAAAAAATAATATTAAACCGCAACCTTGCCAAGATCCGATTAGAAATTGTATCTTTCTGCCCTCCACCCTGTCAACGCACATACATATTTTATTTTTGTCGTTTGAAATATCAAATGGAATCTTCCCGTTTATACTTAAAAATATACTATACGAATTTAGGATTATTGGATTATCTGCAGTATCTCTCATTATCAATAGAAATAGAAAACAATTTACTAGCTTCTGCTACTCTATTGATAACGTGATATCTATTAATCAATTGATTACGACTGCAGTTATAACAAAAATCGAAAACCTTTTTAAGAAAGACTTGTGTTAACACGTTGATTGCCATCCCGATTTTTCATGTCTATGGATATCTTTACAATTTGTTCGAATTACAGTGTAAAGAATAGAAATATTCGGTAATTCAATGACGTACCTCTGATTTTATAATATTCCTGATGACAGTAGAGTTATTTAATACACTGTAAGCTTCAAGTGCCGGTCATTAGTAACCACCATGGCCAGCCATCGTGTTAACCTATACGAAAAGATCGACGAATGTAATTACCACTGCGAGCAACGCAAATATTCCGCTCGCTTCGAACGTTATATTTGGTAGAGAGAATTGGGTTCTACAACTACCTAAAATGTATCCCAATGGCCAGTTCGTATGATTAACTTAAGAACATTGAACGTTACTTGATTTCTTGTTAACGCTGCACAGACTTCGAATAAACTAGTCAAACTGGCGGGTTTTGAAACTAATTCATGACGTCACGAGCGCGTTGGTCGATAAAAAATAACGACATTTACCACGAACCACGTCGACGAATCGTCTGTTTCATTTTACTGACCGTCGATTCCCTCCACGCTGCAGATTCTTGCTTGCACACAGATGTCGCCGCGTGACAATAAACTACCAAACGTAAAAGTGTAGTAGACACGATTTTCATTAAAATTTTACTATGAGAAAGCGTTAAAGTGGACGTACAATACGAGAAAATCGTTTTAATTTCCGAATTCCCAGGGCTTTCTCGCTATACAAAGCAGATCCCTTTGTACCCAAACGCTATAGAGAAAGAGATATTCTATATCGTATTTTATGTAACGTTAACAGATGTACCGTATGTGACAGGCAGCGTAACGACCCTTAAGGTTAAGTGAATTACGCTCTTTTTTTTTTAATATCACGATTTTCCTTTAATCGATAGAGAGGTTCGGAAAGAATGCCGGCACCAAACTCCATCAGCGTGGCTGTAATATGTTCTAGTAATATGAATCGAAGCATGGAAGCCCATGCCTTCTTGAGGTAATTAATCCTGTTGATAATTAAACTATAACTCGAAAAATAAAAATTCTATATAAATTTTTAATCGGTTTCTTTCAGCAAAAAAGGGTTCAACGTGAAGAGCTTCGGAACTGGTGACAAAGTTAAACTTCCTGGGAATGCTCCTGATCGTCCAAATATCTATGACTTTGGAACTTCGTACGAAGAAATCTACAATGACCTTTTAGCGAAAGACAAGCAATAGTATCCTAATTATTATATGAATAAATATTTTCTGTTACAGATGCGAACTACAGAAGTCTATTAGTTATGATTGTGGGACAAATATTCTTTGAATAATGATTTCTCCTTTAAGCTATTGCTATTTTCTCAACGATCCCTCTCTGTGCAATGTTCTTTAGAATACCACTTTTATATATTGATCAGTATTTTTCAACCAGTGTTAAAAATCCTGAGAATGTTTCGAGGAATGGCAGAATCATCAAAGGCTTTTAATTTAGACTCTAATAAATTTTTGGTTCTAAAATCGAGTTTATCCTTGGCTAGGTGTCCACCTTTGGTAGAATTTGTATTATACAGGAGAGGATCATGGATCCACTCAATTTTGATATCATTGAAATAAAAATAATTGTTGAAAAATTCCATAGTATTTCCAGGTGTTTGCAAAATTCGTTTATTAAAGGTATTGAGAATTTTTAATCTCTATTCGATTTTAGCAATGTACTATTGATGTCTGAAAATCTCCAAAAATGTCAGCCTCTATATTTTATTCTGTATCAGCAGCTTAAGAGGGTATTCCCATTTGGGGGGACATCGATTTTAGGTTATCTTTAAAATAAAGGATTATATAAATTATAGAGCAAGGATTTTTAAATTTTTCTCACGAATTTAGTCATTTTTCAAGGTATGGTAGTTTTAAAGATATACAGTTAAATACATATACAAGGTATTTTGACACTGAAGAATCAAATTGTAACTGATAAAAAAAATAGTTTACATCTCTTGAGATCACTCAACACACCCACAAGGTTGAAAAAAAAACAGAATTTTCGGGTTACAATGCATAACATAATTCAATCAATTTACGAAGTAATCGAAGTAAGAAATTTTAATTGTACGAGTATTACCGTTTTAATAATAATAAATTGCCGAAAGGAAACGTTCATCTTTACGATATAAATGTATAAAACGATTGAAAGTAATTAGAATTCCTTGACGTTGGTCTCAGTTATACGCAAAATGGTTTGCTGCATATGTTGGACCGAAACCGTAGAATAAAACCTAAGCCCGAACGATTTCAATTGTCCAAGGACAAATTCGACATTCTGATCACTTGCGAAGAACGCGTGTACGATCAAGTGATCGAATGTATGGAATCTAGAACCCAAGAAGATAGCCAGCCCGTGCATCTGATCAATATCGATATTCAAGATAATCACGAGGAAGCTACAGTTGGATCATTTCTCATTTGCGAATTGGTCACCGTGGTACATTTAAATTTCATACGTTGTTGCACAGTAAGTCCTCGAATTGCGTGGTTTATTCGTTCTAGGCCGTTTCGTGCAAATACGATGTATCGTAGAACGAAGAAAAGATTAATCGTAAGTTAATAATCATGTACTGTACGAAGCTGGAAAGATGGCTAGCGGAAGGAATGTAGTCACGATCGACCGTGATTACCTCTTTTACCTCCCTGCCGTCCCGCTGATCATCTTTCCAGCTTTGCACAGTTGCAGCATGTACAAGGATATAACTGATACAATTACGCGTCCACAAAACCAAGTAACTCGAGGACGTATTGTACTTTTGTAAATGTTATGGTAACTTTGATCTAATATTAACTAAAGTAACAAATATGGTGTTACAGCTGGCGAACAGCGAGGACTTAGATAATGATATAGACGAGCTACTTCATGAATTTGAATCGAAGTTTGCGAGAACGATTCTACACACGGTGCTCTTTTATTGAAAGGACTGACATGTATCAGGGACCTGGTGTTCGCCAACGACTTAACTTATAAAGGAAACCAAATTATATATGAGAAATGTACTACCACATTTTCTGACACGGATTATGTGAAACGAATTCCAACAGCGACAAGTAGGAATTCGATCTGTGCTTCCTATTTAACAGGTCATTGCTTTCCAAAGGATATGTTTCAAAGAGATCCGCTATTGCGTTTACATTAACACCTACAATCCATGGCAAGAATGTGAAAGTAAGATTGCTTGTGTTTGTTCAATGATTTTTGGACACAAGAGCATCGGAGAGGAGTTAGGAAAATAAACACAAAGGACATAAACTACAGAGCATTTTAATTTTATAATATATACGCATATAACGATGAATAGTTCTTATATGTGTATGTATTCTATTGTTAGAATGTATTTGTGGTATGTAGAATCGATATGAGTCTCTGACAAGCTTATAAATTCTGAGATTTGTACATTACAAAATATGATCCGCTGTTATATAGCGAAAAGGCCTTGATTCACACAGTTAAAAATAATACAGTACCAATTAATTAATGTTGATCAAGATGAGCGAACAATCTTCTCGTTTTTTCACGTTTCTTTTTATTCGAATGTTTATTTATCTTTTTCCACGGTTTCTCTTCAAGTAATAAACTTTGCGTGGAACCAGCTACCGATCCTATATCGCTAAAAATTTATAATTGTCAAACATTATTATCGAAGAGATTCGAATAAACGACTCATTACTTATTATTATACAAACGATTATTGTCAACAATTATACAAGGATGATTTTATTGAATAATAAATATACAATAATGTTACATACCTAGAACCAGGACGGTACAAACCGTGCATTTTTCCAATCACTCCTTTCGTATGTATATTCGGGACATTATTTTGAAAAAACACTTTATCTACGTCTTCGGAGCCGACTCTGCTCCCTTTATTTGCACGTATTGTCCTAAGTGGTACATGTTTGTTCACAGAAACAGCTCTTCTTCGCGGAGGGAATGTGTGAAACTTTTCTTGCTCTACTGTTGGTGGCGCAACGCAATACAAAAGTTTACCGTTTACAAAATCTTTTAAAACGTATCGCGCTGAACGCGGGTTATCTGGTTGTCCATTTTGTGTCATAAAACCTCTGTTATCTTTAAAAAAAAAAGAAACCATCTTAAAAATACTAATAATAATTTAAATATGTTCAATCAGTTTATATTAGTTTTTACAAGCATAAAAAGTATATCTTGAACCCCTAGGTTTGGGTTCTCTTTACTAATCGTTAAACATTTAACAAATATGGTCGGGTTTTTCAAAGAACTTCGCGATTTTAAATCTATAAATTCAAATAACCGGGACCTGATTAGGATTTTTTAAATATTTTTAATTTACAAGAGTATATGTCACATCACGGAAGACCTGTGGCAGAATCGACACAAGCCAAAGAAGAATGATCTCAAATCAATACCAAAAAAAAGCACAGAAAAAACAACAATTCTTGGAAGATGAAGATAACAAAAATTTTAATTGTAGAGGATTTAAGATTTTGCTGTTAAGATCTGCAAATTTTGTTTTGTTCCAGTTGTATTTTTCTTTCGTCGTTCATTTCAAATGTGTTTGATTTAAAAATTTTTTAAATAAACGATAATATTTTTTAACTCGAGCAGCAAAACTTTTTCAGTAAATTGTGTTGCCCGACCATCGAGTTTTCGCACACCTCTATCAACAAAATGTCTTCGTAGCTCAAATCCATATAACATTATCATTATTACGAAATGTATATACATACGATTACATACATCCATAAGTATTTAAAATTTCTTCCGAAGTCGGTGGACGATCAGGATCTTCTCCATCTAGAGGCAGAGGTAACATAATGCCATAAAGGTCCTCCAAAACGTGCCTTGGTATCAAAGTACCTAATAATGTAATAGGCGGAACATGATCTCGCATCTGATCGATCGGTAATATGCCGTTTAGAATCATGTCTGCTTTTGTACAAACGAAACTTGGCATTACTAAACCAGGGCAATCGCAAAGAAGTAGATCTTTCTGCAAAAATAGCGTCTGAAAGTGTTTCGTTTTGCCTGGCGTCGCAGACACAGATACCTTTTTATCCATTAACAAAGCATTAATAGTAGAACTTTTGCCAACATTTGGATATCCTACTAAACCAATCGTTGTAAAGCCTTTGGTATACGTTTCACCCTTGTAAATTGTTTTGAAAAATGATACTAATTGATCCCTATTTAATAACTTTGATGAGTTTTCCGTATTTCTATTCTCCTCCTCCCTCGTAGTTTCTTCATCCTCTTTCTCAGTCGAATCTTTCGATACATTCAAATTGCATTCGCTGTCTTCGTTGGTTCCGGAATCTCCATTGGCAATGCTACTACCATCGTCTGCGGTTTCATATTCGCTATCCGAGGCAAATTCCGAGTTATACGATGATTCGTTATCGTCGTTCTCGTCCTCTGTTTCGCTGTCTTGCTCGTTTTCGGAACTTTCTTCTTTCACCGACTCGTCGATCTTTTGTTTCTCGGACGCTAACGTAGCAGAAAAGAAGGCGATTCTTACATCGATATCCGTAAAATATTTTGTCCACGCTTGGCGTTGATCATCCGTTAAGAAATCTGCTTTATTAATTAATATCACATTCATCTTCTTAGGATCTACTTCTTTAACGTAACTCTCCAAATCCTCGCAACGGAACAGCAAAGGATTCCGTGCGTCGACGATTTGTACAACAACGTCGCTGCGTTCCACTACTCTCCACAGTTGCCGCCAGAATTCCAAGTTTTTTTCGTAAGGCGTCAACATTAATTCTTCATCTTCTTGCAGCTGAGCGAGTGAACGTCTCCAATCCAAAAACTCTTCTCTCTCTTTAGCTTGTAATTCATAAGCCGTTGTGGTGCTGTCCCATTTAGGCCTCCTTGGTATCTTAAGTAGTGCTTTATTCTTTATTTGCGACTCCACGACCTTTCGTTTCTCATCTTTCGAAAGTAATCCTATTCCGCTCTTCGGATTGACGAACTTAACGTTCAGTTTCTCTGCTTGGAACTCTGTTCCCGCCAACTCCGCGGTCGAAAGAAATTCTTGGAACGAACTTTCTTCCGTGACTGATTGAAGATTGAGACGTCCCCAGTCGTATCCGTCATTTAATTCGACGCTATGAATCTATTCGAAAATTTTTTATAATATTCAATAAATAATATAGTAATAATAAGCCGTTTACACTCGTTAAACGTTTTTGACCGTGCGCTTGCGGTCACCTTTGGGACAAAACAAAACATTGACTCTTTGTAAACAGTCTTACTTTATAATTTCAGCCTTATTCTTAATAATATTCAAAGTATTTTTAATCCATGATCCACGGACCCCAAGGAGATCCATAAACTTCATCTTTTTAATGTTTTGACATTACAATAGCTGTTAAATGAAAATAAATCTGTCTTGTACAGAGAAATTACAAGATTTCTTAGCTAAGCCGCTGATATATAAGGGAAACATGGAAACTGACATCTAAAAACTTTCAAATGGAGATGAAAAGCATTTTACTAAGGAAGAATTGAAATTTAAAATCCTCTAACAATATCCTTTTTAAGAAATGAATTTTACAACTGAACGGAAACACTACAGGACTCTTTTAACAATTTTTTTTATCTCTGACATTACAATTAAATGTGAATTTACAATCCTATTCTCGATGCAGATCTAACCAAGGATAGAAAAGTCTTGAAAAATTCTGATGTTCCTTCTAAGCTCATTCTCATCTTGTAAAGCAACATGTGCAAGTTTTACTCTCCTATCGGTGCATTGTATCTGAGTAAATCAGGATTTTCAACGCCAAGCGAAGAACACTGATTCAACCAATATTTAAGGGCATTATTTTGATAAACATTGCATAGAAAGGGTTCATGTGTTGTGTCGGAATGTCAAAAGGGTTCCGTGAAAGAGAAGGTTAAAAACCGTGGCACTAGAACGTACAGATAATAGGTTATGAATAAAGTAATTATCTTACCATAGGCGTATTAACACATTTTTTTCTTTTCGACTGACCAAAACGATCTCTGATTAAAGCTTTCCCTAAATTGCCATCTCCTGCCTTTCCCTTCTTGCCCATTATGTTAGAATTGATAATATCCTCTCACGAAAACATAACACGAGGTTAAGTTGTACCAAAATACGTCCATCAAAACAACGACAGTAAAGCAATCGGCGTAAACGAAATGTCAATAAATATGTATATATAAAATACTTCTAAGAATTGATACATAGATATTTTACGTGCAAATGAAAAAAAAAATAATATTCGAATTCAGTTCGATGTACGGGTGAAATGTTCAGGGTAGAATTAAAATATATATTTATGCATCATACATTTGAACTATATATAGTCAATTAAGATAAACCTATCGCCTACGATACCTATAAATTAAATCTGGGACAGAGCTTCAATTCGATTAATTCTGCGTCTTACTCCATTTTTATTAATAACTGATAGATAAACTGTTCTGGTTCACAGTTTCTCGACGACCAGCAACAATTACGAAATGTTCGACATGCTTCACATGCTTCTTTTCTACCCTCTTCACACGCGCCGATCAATTCTCAAATTGGAACAAGAAAGTTCTTTCGCAAGGCAGCTTGTGAACAGTTTTTTTCATCGAAATAATATTGGATGTCATCGATTATATATTATATTACAATTTTCTGCAGTCTCGCGCAACTCGAGACATTCATACATTTTGCGCACATAGTGTTATAAGACGCGAAGAGGTCGTGCTTGTTTCGACAGAGCACCTTCCGTATTTAGAAATCTAGCCATCTAGCGTGGATAACACTGTTCAACAAATAAAAACGTTCTCTTTTTTATTTTGCAACATTCGTCGAGCGATGCTTGCAGAGTTTCTCGTCCCAACCATGAATTACAGTTTCTTGTAAATTTTCTGATTTTTAACCACTATAAATCGTTATCAGAATTTTAAAAGAACCGACATACGTACTTTTTTTCATTTTATTTTTGCAATTTTTATGAAAAGCTTTCGTCCAACAAAATTACTATGTGGTATCGGATCCCATAGATGTTTCTAAAGAAGAAACCGCTTAGAAAAAGGTTCGTGATAGTTTTTAATTTGGACAATTTGAGAATATATCTGACTAGAACGGGTGCGCCGGTATTTTGCCGCCATGCCGCCATTTTTCGCCTACATTGGCTCGTCAGTGCCGTATCTAGATGTAACCATCAACAATTAATTCCGTTAACAAGCACCTATTTCCTATACATATATTTTTTAAATATATTCTTGAATATTGATCATAAAATTATAAAGAACTTTTTATACGTGTAGAAAAGTGGTACCTATTATCGGTGTTGATTCTGCATTGCTACGACACTGACGAGTTGAAGCAGGCGGGCAATAGCCGCATGGCGCCGAAACACCCTGCGCTAGTTCAGGACTTATTTTACTCATCTTCAAATTAAAAACCGTTCCAACATTTCTTCGGAATGGTTTTCGTTTTCGAAACATCTACAGAATTCGATAACATGTTGTAAATTCGTGTTAAGAAAAAACTTTTCTAAAAAATGTAAAAGTAATACCTAAACAGTGCGTACATCTGCTTTTTTTAAAGCTTTGATGGCAATTTACAACCATAAAAAACCACAAAATTGAATGAAAATATACACTCTTATATTAAAAATATTGTCCTCCGTCTTTTAAGATTAAATTTAATTGTCTAGCTTCTTACTTTTCAAGCAATATCTCGCTTTCGCCCAGGACCATGTATTTTGACTAAAACTCGTTTCTTTCTTTTTTCAACTAAGAATAATGGTGCTATTCTGCTTTCCGATTCACATTTTCGATGAGAAACTGTACAGGGATCGAGCAATGGACATTGGAAAATAAAATTCGTGTTGGACAGTGCGATCGATCGCTTCTCTGGAAAAGGGATAGCACTCCCAAATAAAGTTCCTCGAAAAAAAATATACTTTCATCCAAGCACGCTGCGCGCAACGCCCTAAGTTCGATTTCTTTAACGGAGAGTACAAAATGGCTCGTAATGTGTCCGATATGGGTCGTTAGCCTGCACCGCGATGTCTAAAGAATACCACCGTTCCACGCGACAAGTTTCGTTTCATCGGCGACTGTACAACCTGCGCGGATCAACGCTGCTTCGTACAGGACGAACGGCAGTCTGTCAACGTGCACATAACATACAGACACTTTAACTTTAACTATCGTTTCAATAATTATCTCTTCCTCTGATACCTCGCGACGGGTCGCCGTCGCGCCCTCTGCCACGATTATTATACCCACTCCTGCCCATGTTATTGTCGTTGGGACCCCGATTCATGGGACCGCGATTAGGTCCGAGCTTATTCCCGAAGTTACCAAAGTTTGTGTTAAAGTTATTTGGCGCATTCTGACCGGGATTTTGACCCCGGAAACCAGGACCGAAACCCGGCCTGTCAAAATTCGGCGGACCGGCGTTAGGCCCTCGAAAGTTCGGTAAACCTTGAAAGCTGTTCCCGAACGGGCCCTGATTCGAACCGAACAGGGGCAACGGGTTGGGCCGGAAGTGTTGATTCGGACCGAAATTACCGTTCGGCGGTCTAAAGTTAGGACCGAAGCCTCCGGGCGGCGGCCCATTGGGACCAAAACCGGGATGCATGTTAGGATGGTGCATCATGTGCATGGGACCGTCAATTCCTTGCATACCAGGATGCAGCGGTTTATTCTGCATGGGATGCTGAGACATGTTTGGGTGTGGCACTAAACTTGGAATTGGTGGGGGCATGTTGGGATTGATGTTCTGCATATTGTGATGACTGGACATGTGAGATATGCTATTGCTCAAGTGGGACATATTATTACTCATGCCGGGGCCAATGCCCATCGGCATGTTGTCGCGTTTATCGAAGTTGCTCGAGAAACCACCGTCCCCTTTCCGAGGGCCATCGTTCATTGGTTTATCGTCGTCCCATCGCGAACCACTATCCCTGTCGTCGTAACCGTCGTTGTCTATGGATTTCTTTAGGGGGAATCCGTGCGAACTTCGGAAGTCTTTATCGGCGTAATTGCTTCTTATATCGTAATCGGAACGCGAGCTAGGCCTGCCAGGTCCGCTGGATATGTTAAACCGCATGTCCTCGTCGCCGCGATTCATACTTCTCGCGTTTTCACCGTGCGAGTGCTTCCTGAGATCCTCATCGTGACCGCCATGGAAATTGTTCTCGCCGGTATGCTGATTCGATTTCCCCCCGGTGTACCTTAAATCGGTATCGCTGGACTGCGAGTCTTCCGTCATTATTCCGCCGAAAACTGGCTGATGAATCTTTGACGTACGATCGCTAGCTCCGCCGTCGCTCCAACCGATCAGTTGGTCGAATTTCCGTTTCCCGCCACGATTCAAAGCTTTAAGCAGTTCAGGATTTTGCGCGAACTTGGAACTAGGCAAAGGCGGAGGTAGTTCGATATCGGGGACCTTAGAATAATCTATTTCGCCGTCATCCTGTAAATACTCCTCGGACTCGTCCACGTTGTCCGGAGGGCCCACGACATCACGTAAATCTTCTATTTCCCCGGAGAACACTAATTTATTTATAGCATCGTTTCCTTTGCTGATTGCCTCCGCTAGCTTGGAACCGGCTATAACGTTCACGACGAGACACAACGATATATAACGGCTGGTCATATTTGGAACTGTAAATCTGTATAATTAAATGGTACTTACGTTCGACGGGAATCATTTTTCCGTACAATATAATACCATTAGGCGTTACTTCGTTCAGAGGCACTGCTCCCGGTGTGGTTTCAATCAACTGATTCACGAATGCATTCAAAGCCTCAACTTGCTCCATGTCTTCCGCTTCCATTTCGTTCCACTGCGCTTGGAAGTTTCTCGGGATCGGCTTACTGTATGGAACTTTCTTGTTAGCGAACTTCTTCCCTTCGTCAACAGCGTGGTCCAAGTCCAATCCCGGTATTCCGCCGCTTTTGTCCTCTGGTTCGCCATCGGCGTTGATTCTGTCTTCCGGGCCCATACCAGGTATTACGGCCGCTTCGTCAGCTATGAAACAGTCGAAATAGTAATAGTACAGATTATGATCTTGTTTCAATTTTGACTACGATGACCACGACATCGTCGCGTATTTTTTTTGCGTACCTATTTCGTGATCGTCAACGCCAGCAGATCCTGCGGGTAACGTGTTGAGATTATACTTGTCCCTCATTAAATCGCCAGGCCTATTTCGTGTCCAGAACTTCGAAGTATGGTCATTACTACCAGAACACAGAATGTGACCTAACGGATGCCAAGCTAACGTCCACACTATGCTGTCGTGAGCTTGTTCTATCGCACCCACTTCTTTGTCGGCGCTAAAAATTAATCGCGGCGTGTGGAACGCGTGAAAAGCACAAGATCGTAAAGTAGAAAAATTATCGAGTGTCATACCCAACGTGCCAGAATAAAATGGCACCGTCGCTGCCGCCGCTACAAAACAGGCCCTCGTGGCTCGGATGCCACGCGACGCTGGATGCTTCTTTCTTGTGTCCACGAAACGTTTGAACCTCTTGACTTAAATTCCTAAGGTCGAACAGCTTGAGCAAGTGATCTCGTGACGCGGTCACTAGCCAATTCCCGTTTTCGTTCCATTTAACGTCCATGACCGTTGACTTGTGTGCATGTAAAGTTGCAAGCGATTGCCCACTCTTTGGATCCCATAATTTTACCGGTTGCTGATTATCTTTGCTCCCTGAGATGACTAGACTTTTTTGCGGATGCCAGTGTACGCACTTCACATCAGCTCCGTGACCTAAACAAGAACCGTATGAGTATTTCTCCTGATTCCAACGTTAATTTATTAAACTATTTCTTAAGAAATATTTCACATGGCGTTTAATTATTTTAACTACATAAAAATGTGACTATACATGACACTATATATAGTCAAATTTAATTATAATGTTTAACGTAATCTTAATATATACCCCTCAAAATTCGTTCTTCGTGACAGCGAAGAAAGTCCCAAATTCTGACTGTTCCATCGTCGCTGCACGTTGCCAGCTTGTGATCCGTTGGACTGAAACTACCCACCCAGAAAACAAGAGTTATATTCAAACAATATGCTGTGTTGCATGTCAATGAAGCAGTTCTTTATTTTTATTTTTATCATTTTTAAAACGTTCACAATGAAATATAAGATAGTATTATAGTGCGATGATACGTAGCACATGTTTCGGGTCTGATTTGTTTCGTGTAGGCACACTTATGGAGTATCGAATAGTAAAACGATAACACGGCACAATATAAAAGATCAACTACTCGCTGTGAGCTTTATTAACTTTTATTTAAATTATCTTTTTACAAAGTGAAATATAGCCAAAGTAGAAGAAAGCGAAACATGTGAAATATTTATAGAATTCGATTGGGAGGGCATTTAAGATATACGGTACACCTTACGGACATTAATGTAATATGATTTCAGGACACAATTACTAGAAATCGAAATCAAAGCATACAATGGCTTACATTTATTACTGATTTGTCATTTTGCTTGTTAAATAAATATTACCGCATGCAATGTTCATGTATACGCAAAACAAGCGAGGAATAATATCGTCAGAATTTTGCCATTTTTCTCCATGGTACCATTTGTTAAGTTACTTATACATTTGCATATATCTACACATGCATCCCTTAATGGATCTTAAGTAATATATTTTGTAAAAGTTCATTTAAATCAGCCTACGAGTTCGTAAACGATCGCAATTTTCAAAAAAATTGTTCGAATTAATTGTATGGGAATTAAACGCATAACATTATTTCACGGTTTCCGATGAACTTCGCATACGATTCTTCCTGAGAGTTCGAGCGTAAGCAAATTTATGCAGAAAAAAAAAAGAAACGCACTTAGCGACGCGCAAAATTAAAAAAAACGAACTTTGCATTTCGGATCAATTTGAAAAGTTGTTAATATATATATATATGTATATATATCAAATGCATGATGTTTTATGGAATTACGCATAGTGGATTTTACTGTAAATGCATCTCAAGGAATAGACAGACATCAGTAATAAAAGGAAGATCTATGTGTAAATATTGTAAATAAACAAAAAACCATCATCGACAGTCATATCTGGCACTCAAACATAATTCATTGCCCGTTAAGCAACAAACTCTCATAATCGTGTAATTAGAATCTCTCTTTGATGCCACATGACCACCGAGTGATGTACCAAGAGTGATATTTTTTAACATTTTAACATTTATTACACAAAAAAAATGTCCGAAGTGTACATGAATTTCATTATATCTCTCTGCTATTCTCTCTCTCTCTCATCTGCAAAAGGGCACAAGCGACACAAAACAAAGAAAAAATACTTTATTATCGGAACCAATGCAATACTGCGATGTCTTTATTCAACTTTATTGAAACTTGGATGATGTAAAGAAGGACATAGGATACTTTATTTTTATTATAATTCAATGGGAATCTCGACTAGGTGTTGCTGTATTTCTTTCTTGTTTATTTGTAATTCTAAAAATATACATCTTTACCCAACAGCCTGGCTATATAAACTCCTCGAACCGAGAGCCATAAGGACCTAATTTTACTTTCGTAATAATTTATTATTTTACTTTCTTCTCTGCGGACTCTTTATGAATAGCAATGCGAAATAATAAGTTGTTGCTACTGTAATCTAACGGACCATGTAAATCTACTTAGGTCCCTAAGACTCTAGGAGTACAAACGACAAATTTTATATCGACACACGTACAACATAGTTGTTATGATCCATGAAGGTGAGAATTTAAAAAAAAAAAAATAAAAAAAAAAAAAAGAACTTTAGTACAACATTGAAAATCTACTACACGCTCGATTCGATCGAAAAAAACAAACGCATTTTTTTTTTAAGGAAAGGTAATTGGAGCTATTTGTACATATATAATAACGCTCACAATTTTTAAATCTAATTCCATCACATTTCTTTTACCTTCGTATAAAACACTCTTTTTCTTTTTATTATAAAACGTTTATCAAAATTAAATTCAGTAGAAATATTTTACAAAAGAAAATATTAATTTTCGCGACGAGTTGCAATAACGCGAAATAAAAAATACTGTATAGCAGTGTTTTCCAAATTAGGGGGCACGACCCCTAAGGTGGGATGCCTTACAATCCAAGGGACGCGTGAACGAAAATTTTTAATGTGGAAAAATGTGGACAACTTAAACATCTATTTTTATTAAGTACATTGATCATCGAAGTTTAACAAGTGTAGAGGTATTATAGTTTTCTTATATCATTTTAATCTCTTAAAGGACCAGTCGATTCGTACGAGATAAACTAAAATTCTAACCGTTATTTACTCACGACATCTATAAATCTTCTGACGATGTAGTTGTGTTATACTATTGGAAACTTCAACTATGAATGTTCACGTAACTCTGTTTTTAGTCGAAGTTTAAAACTGTATTTTCAAAATTTTTATCTGTTAGTTATCAAGTAAACGTCTCTCCAACTTGGACAATAGGCTACTTTCTATCGTATTTTGCTCGCGATAAACTATAACTCTCGCGTAAATGTTGCTAAATGTGCATTGTTCTTTGTTTTTGACTAGATCGAACATATAACAACATTGCTTAAAAAAAAAAATATAAAAAATAATAAATACGATAAAGCACAATCCACGGGCAAAAGCTAGTTTAAAATAATACTGAAAAGTCTAGTCTATAAATTTCGGGCGCAGAAATTCTCTCTTTTTTTTTAAGGGAGGGGAGGTGGAGGGGCGCCTTCCAAAAAGTTTGGAAACCACTGCTGTATAGGATGAATATCGAATTCTTTATCACAGATCGATTATATATCACAGAGATTTCTAAAGAACCAAGAATTTGCATACTTCCCATGCGCCTGATACCAGAAAATTTTTACAAATACTATCCATCGAAAACACGGTAAATCACCTGTGTACCCATACAAGAATTGCTATTGTTCATAGCGGGAGTGTCATAAAACCAGAAAAGGAAGAGAATGAGAATCGTGTCCAGTATCGTAACTACAGCAAGGATGGACGGATCATCGATAACAGTGGCGCAAGAGACGTAAGGACTAGTGTGGTGGATGGTATACCTGAGTCCTCTAATCGCTTCTTTGTGCGCCTGAAACATCTTGACGTTGTTCATGTTGCTCTGCCAATACTTGACGTAGCCAGCATGATCTCCTGTGACCATCCAGCTCTCGTTGTGCGACCATACCATTGTTCTCACTGGACTATCGTGCGCCTGCACAAACAGAACCAAATTTTTCATTAGCTTTTATTTTCATTCTTTTATCACAATTTCCGTTCAAACACGTTCACTGCGCTAGTTATTTTCATGAACATTTAGATTTCACGGCACGGATCAGCTATACTCGATATAACTTCTTAGCATGAAACAAAGACTCAATAATTGCTAAAATTTATTACAAACTTTCGTATATTAGTACGCGACTATCCAATACGAAAAATCGTCTATAATCATAAAATAATAAATAGGACTCGTAAAACAATAAAAGTGATTACCCTTTTACAGGAATGTTATATATCAGTAGCTAATATTTCTACCGTTTATATTTGCAATTTAAAATATTCTATTTTATACCCTCATATAAGTTTTTAATTAGAGTCAACTCTTTATGATATCGGTGTATATGTCCCATATCGCAATAAACGTGTTAAAGACGTAAATAACTTCGTTCCGACTCAAATAAAAACGACTTGTGCCGAATAATCTTTGAACGCTTATTATTTTACTCTTTTAAAAGTTTTGATTTATAAAAACCTTCTTCATGCCGGAGTTAGAAATTAAAATAATTTGTACGCGTGAAAAATAATTAGAGATTGTGGTACCGAGCTTCCAATTATTTGAAATATACAATATGCATGACTAGCAAAGGAAAGGAGTATCCATTAATAAATTAAAAAGTATCGTTACATTGATAAAAATTATTTATATAATATCGAGAAGTAGAATAATATATCGATTAGTTGCATCTATGTAGAAAACCATAGTAATATATTCACACAATATACCTGTAGAATAGTTTCAAAATTAAATGTAAGGCCATTCCATAGGGTAAATTCCCCACTAGATGCGCCGGTAACGAGACGTCTGCCCTCCGGTGTCCAAGCCATACAGAAGATTGGACAACGCATTTTATTTGTTGCAGTCTTCACGAATCTTGTCGTAACGGCATTTATTGGATTGTCGATGTAACTGGGCGGTGGAAGTAAGTCAGGATAATACATTACGTCCGGCTGAAGAGCGCGTCTGTCCCGATAGTCCCTTTGCCATATCCGATTCTATGCACACACGATTTACATTATTAACATTATTTGATGTCAATTGAAGAAAATTTTGTAATACAAATTGGAAACCCTACCTCTAAGCTCTTTATAATAGCTGAATTATAATCAACAGTTTTGCGCATAACAGATTTCCTAAGTCTCTTTCCATCAAATTCATCTTGCAAAGTATCTTGGCCAGCAGCAACAATTTTCGGAGCATGATAAGGTCTGAATGGTTTAAAAAAACCACGAGCTCCATCTCTGTGGTTAATGTACCGATGTTGATAGCTCCCAGAGGTATTTATGGTAGTTAAATTAGGAGGTGGGGCAGATAAATTTGGAGTGGTGGGAGGTGGCACCGACATATTAGGTAAACTTATGGCTGGTGGAGGAGTTGCAAATTGAGCATTTGCAGACATAATGAAATAATTTATAGGATATTACAGTTAATTCAAACATATAAAAGAAAATATAATCTAAATAGGTAATAAGGGACAAACATATTCATAGCTTAATATTGCCCAATATCGCTATACCAAATCCATTGCAGTTACTAATTCTGTAAATAAATGTAAAATACAGTTTTCATTAACATTTTATCAAAATACTAACAAAGTTATATATTTATATAATTTTATCTGATTTTTATTTCTATTGCATACAACACACAGTACATTTTGAGGTTGATCGACCATTGAAAAACAGTTAAAATTGTGACTCAATGATTTTTGTAAATATTATTTGACTTGTTTAAAAAAAAAAACAGATTGCATTAATTTAACAAATCATTAATGACGTTACGATTTGTTTAATAGAAATTTTTACGTTTAAATGTAAATTTACAATATCTGAACACAAGAGAACAGGAACTACACTTTCACAATATGTGAAAGCATGAAATTGTTTTGTCAATCGAAACACTTCTTTTAGTGTTATTATCACAGATTTCGAGCTTTCATTAATTGGTTTATTAACGTATAATTAAATACTCGATACTCGTAAACGAATAGCTAAACCTGCTTCCAGCGAAATTGGAACGGTAACGAAGGTTAGACGTTATATTTGCTAGAAAAAAGGAAAGCAACCTGACGAACGCGAGTTTTATTCAAACGATAAGTTATTACGATACAGAATAAAATACATTTACGAAAACTGATTAATAACCTGTTCATTAATTGGGAACAAATATTCTTTGATGCTGTTGCACTGTAAAACCCTTAAAATGTACACAACCACTTATTTCCACCGAATGTATAAAAACTTTTTCCCAACGATTAACGAAGTACAGAAAGTAAAGAGATCATTACTCGACGAAAATATCGACAACTTTTGTATTCTACTTCAAATATGTAAATGTAAACGCAACGGGCAAACAGTAAGAAAATTGTGTGTCCGCTATGGACGCCATTACTCTTTTGGGCGATGACATCCGTTTTATGTTTCTACTTCCGTCAATAGGTTTTAAGCAAATTATTATAAGGCATATTTTAATCAAATGTTATTGATTAAAAACAATCGATAGACATATAGCTATTGAAAATATCTTAACGTAATAAATTTTTAATATGAAAACGTAAAATAGGGTGAAGGGTAATAGGGACTTAAGATTTGTTGCATTGAAAGTTCTACTTTTAAATTACAATTCTTCGTTACGAATATTGTTTTCTGCAACTTATTTTTCACAGATTAATGTTTTCGAGGATTTTGTACTATTAAAAATAAGCTTTCCAACAAACAATGTCATTACTATGTTCGATTAATACTATAGTAATAAAACGATGGTACATTTCTTTATTGCGAAGGCCACCTGTTCTGGGTTATTGAGATTTACACTCTTAATGTTTCTCATACGTGTAGGTGTAACATAAACTATTGTGGTTACAACTGTTCGTACAATTATTACAATTGAAATATCGATATTTTTCATAATGTACAATTTTCATATGATATTATTGTAACGAACAAATATCGAATTTCATCAAAAACGAAATATGCGACTTGGAATTGTTCGACTAAAAGTCTTGACGAAAGCATTATTGGGGAATTTCGAGAAATTCATAGTTTGTCCAACGCGGAAAATTGTAACGTAGTAAAACAGTAAATTGGAATAAAGAATTATAAATCATGAGTGATAAACACGTGATAACGAAACTCCCTCATCATGTGCAACAGAAGCTGTGTAACACACGACCACCTTATAGACAAGGGAAAAGATTGACATCCGTGAAGGTAGCATTGTGGACTTGTATCCTATTCAACATAAAATATGTGCACTAATGAATAATAATTGTAATTTAAATTTGGATGTTTTCTTCAAAATACTCTAATATTTTAGCGATGTAATTACAGAATTAATATCTCTGCCATGGACTTTTAATAGGCAATTTTTAATTATGACGCTTTCGTAGATCTTACGGTCTACGAATAATTTTATAAACTTTGCGATTTTACATATGAATTTATATTTTGCGTTTCTTATAATATTTCCTTGACACACTAGCTCTGTGTGACAGGTATATACAATAAATGATGAATCAAAACATTTGATGGTATGTGGAGTACCAAAACTCCAGTTACACGAAGAAGTAAAGAAACTCATTGATCCTTATGGAGAGGTAAAGAAGATTCATGTAGCACCTGACTATCCTACAGAAGAATTCACAGAAGCTTATTATGTACAATATGCTCGTATACAAAGTGCAAGGTTTATATTAGTTTATGTTTTTATATTAATGGCATCTTATTCAAAGAGATAGTCAAGTGTAAACTTCTTTGAAAGGCTATTCTCTATATTTTCCATATTTTAATAGCTGCACATTTTTTGCATATTTCTGTATATTTCTATACTGTGCCTTATAAAGTACTTCCACACATTATTAAATTTATTGATTCTAAATTTGCATGCAATGTTATGTCGTACAGAATAGCAAAACGCTTCATTGATGGTAAAAATTTTTATGGAGGTTTACTACACGTTTTTTACGTACCCGAACTAGAATCTGTAGCAGAAACTAAAGCTAAACTTATTCAGCGTCGTCGGGACGTAGCTATACGTATAAAGAGAAATCAGCAAGATTCACTAAATCCAAACATTGACAAATTTATTCCTAAGTACGTTGTAAAACTTATTGTTTATAAGAATGTACACATAGTGATACAAATGTATATTAACAACCAATAACTAATACCAATAATACAATTATTCAGGGAATAATGTCAGTATTAAATTTCAAATTGTAGAGAACAATACCATAGAAAAAAGAAAACACCAGCACTACCGTTAACGAAAGAACGTCTAATTCAACATTATCCTGGAGAAACATTGTCTTCCATTTATGACGGCATACCGCGAAATATAGATCCGAGACCAGTATCCGAACCTAGCTTACCTTCGACTTCGTATAGTAATGAAGTAAATGATTCGATCGCGTTTGCATTATCGCATGCTCCGTATCATCCAACCGAAGCTGTTATTAGAAAAACCGAAGTTAAAGAAATTACATCGAAATCGAATTTTCGAAGAGGCAAAAGGAAAAATTATAAAGGACAGACTGTTGACAGTAACATCAAAGTCAAAGTAGTTAGGCCTGAAATTGTAGACACAAGCACCATAGTAAAGTGGAATAAATCGGAAAAAAATTTATTCAGTAATCCTAAAAAAATTCAGAGCAATATAACTATCAAATTAATACCAAAATCCGATAATGAGAAAAAAAGAATTGTAATAAAGGACCCAAGGTATGTCCTGTATTATACGCTATTTCGAATGTTCTGTCCTAATAAGTTATTATTAATACATATTGTTTCAGTGTATCACAATTGGTACAACCGAGTAAAGATCTCCAAATTTCAATTGAAGAAGCCAGATCTCAGATACGAGCAGCTATGCAAGCAAATAACAAGGAAAATCCATCGTAATAAAGCGAGATAAACAATAGAACATATTGCTATAAAAATCATTTATTTCATTCTAAATAAATTGCAACAGTCTAATATTTTACGTTTATACTTACAATTCTTCTTTTTTTTTTTTACAATTATCTAGAAAATTATAAAATACCTACGAGGCAGAATATTCGAATACTTCTTATAATAAATTAATGTTCCTAAAAAATTAATTAAATAATAACTGACGAATCTGGATCCCATTGCATTCCGTTTAATTTAGCTCTTGCAACGCATCTTTTATGCGGAGGTGTATTTTCTTGCATTTTGGGCATTATATTTTTATTTTTAAACGTCTGCGGAGAGTTTATCGAAACTTGCGTTCGTCCATTGTTCGAACGATTTCCAAGAGGAGGTCGAATCTGAAAGCGAAGATGTCTGAATACTATGTATGCCGGGGGCCATTAAATCTCGCGAGATAATGATAGACTTCCGATATTAATTGGAAGATTTGACGCCTTACAATAAATTAAATGGACAAACCGATCCTTTAACCCAAACCGGAACGTTTAGTTCGACCATTGATTTTATATGAATAAAAAAAATTATTAAATACTTTTGTGCATTCATTTCCATTTTTCTTTTCATCTGTTGCTATTTTTATTTCCGATTTCCCGAGCACGCTGGATACTAATGAGTCTCTCCATATTTTAATTGCATCATTATTGACAATGTTAATCTCCTTTGGTTGTTCAACATTATCAATGTTCTGGTTTGAAGTTGTTTCTTCACTTTTCATTTGGTTTTCTATTAATACAAATATTTGCTGGTAAGTTAAGACTTTAATAAATATCTTCAGCAACAATAACTCCCTCACCAATTTCAAAGCTAGTCTTGTTTTTAGACGAAACGGTAGAATACGACGAGTTGGAGTCATTTGATTTGTAGCTGTCATCACTATTGTGAAAATTTAAAGCTTCTATCCTCTCAGCAGTTAAATCAGGCAATGCTTGTATTTCAGGGATATTAAATTGCGACAACATTTCACAATATGACAATCTTGGATATAATACATCTGTCTCATAACTACCCTGCCTGTGCAAACATTCTTGAGATCTTGCTTTTAAACGTTGTATAGATTTGGGTGGTAATATTGGTGTTCTATCAAAATTTGCAGCTGGAGATCTAGGATCTAGCCCCAAAATATCATAACGTTCTTTTTCTATTGATGTCATTCTTTTTATAACATTTAGATTATTGACTGTTGGCGTTACTGGACTGTCTGTATTTTTATTTTCCTAAACCGAATCAACCAAACTTTACATGGCACTCCTTATAAAAATAATTTGAAAACTTATGATCTCAATTTTGTAAATAGTTAAACTTTAATAAATAATTAATGAGGTATTATATAATTTTTATTGAAAAACAATAAGTTCTAAGCTATAAAATGACTTTGGTAATTTACCCCATCCAAAAACTGAATTGTTTTACTTTCTACTATCCTTGGCACACATTTATTTGGTGTTAATGGTATTACTTTATCCATATCAGTTTCTAAATATGGCTTTGTATGCAAATGTTTTGGAACTGCTGAAATGGTTCTTTTATTCAATCCAATTGGTGTAGAATGTACCTATTAATGTTATATACATACATATTAACATTATGTATTTCTAACATTATAGTATACAAATTACCTCTATTGGTGTTCTATCTATACCAATTGTTATTGATCTAGGATCCATAGATAATGTTGTACGACATATAGGTGATGTGTACATAATGTCTACCTGTTTGCTTATTTCATCTATAGAACACTGTACATTTGTTTCCTCTTTTTCCGACTCATTATTATGGAAAAAATACTTGGTAACATAATTTCCCATTATTGTTGTTTTTAGATATCGTACGCCACAATTATCGATAAATTATAATACTCGTTCTGATTTAAAGATGTTATTTAAACAACTTATTTGAAAAGTAAAACGAAGTCTTTTTTTGTCTAGTTAATAACTTTTATAAACGATTTACCTTAAACAAATGTACATAGAAGTTAACATCAAACAGAACTATAACTCGTGACACTGTGTTTTAACCACTTTCAATAGCATTCGACAAATTGTTGACGACAATTTGTCTGAAAAGTAAATTGACCAAAGCTGAACCAACGTGCAATTTTGAATAAGAGGCGATGTTGCCAGACGTACCGGGTTTGTCGTGCATGCGTGTTGAAGATGAAATGCTTTAAAGGCTCGTTTTTACGCGGTAGTAGAAGTCGTGATTTTGTCATCGAAATTTATAATAGCGTGACAATCATGAATAAAATTTGGTTAACTGTATAATAACGATAATAACGTTACATTCATAGTTGGCTCTCGTTCTAACGAAATCGTGACGAAGTGTTGCCAACATGTAATTTTAAGCAAGTGGTACCAAATACACTAACCTCATTCGTTATTGCTAAGGCGACTAAGGCCTTCTAATCACTGCTCTTTGTTTTCGTTACGTATATGCATATAATATATATTTTAAACTAAACAACTAAAATGACATATGTTGCGTTTTCTGCTAATGAACTTTAAATAATAACATGTAACTAATTGATACGAAATTGTTTTTTTATTTGAAGTGTAAAATCTATTGCAATCATCGTTAACTACTTGTTGGTTAAGAACAGCTAAGTTGGCGTACACGTATTGAAATCAAGAAAATATTGTATTATTTGTTGAATTATGATTATATGTACATTGTAAACGTTAATATAAATTGCTAATTGGAAGCAACAGTATGAAAGGAATTTAAATAATACTAACGCATCGTAAGCTAATGATATTGATACCTGTTAGGTTATTTTTATTATAAAAGTAATTCGTTAAAACGTACACCGAACTATTGTTAATACTGTTTTAATTGTTATATTTAAAATCAATAAAATCGGATTTAGAAGAAAGTGAATTTGCGTGTTTAAATATAGAAATATGTCAATCGATACAAATTTGGTTCAAACGGAATCTATCAATTTCGTTTGTCCGATATGCGACTGTCGGTACGAGAATAAAAAGGAATTTTATGATCATTTATATATTCATGCTGGAGATGTACTACTGAAGCATATACAATGCTTAAAGAAAAATGAAAACAATGAATCTCAGACAGAGCTAAAATATTCTAACCAAGAAAGATTCCATGATAATTTTCATGAAAATATAGTAAGACCATTCAAGTGTCAACAATGCGATTTCACGTTTGACAGAGCATCTCAATATGATTATCATTATCGAAGTATACACTTAGGTGAAAAGTCACAGCTCTGTGAAATTTGTGGTAAAGGTTTCTTTCGAAAAGCAGACCTAAGGACACATTTAAACATTCATTTAGGAACAAATATTTGTATTTGCGAAGTTTGTGGAAGAAAGTTTAATCATATATCCAATTTGATTAGACACGGCAGAATGCATGCTGGTAATTGTATTATTTGTACAAGAAATTGTCTAATTGGGAATAATGTTCAGATATGACATAGATATAGAAGGATGCAATATGGAATAAAAATTTTTGCAACCATTGTCTATCTATGTTCTGTCTTATGGAACAAATTAAAAATTTGAAATTTAATTCATAGGAATAAAACCATATCCATGTTCCATTTGTGGTAAACGTTTTACTCAAATTAGTTCTCTCGCGAGACACAAACGTATTCATGAAAGGTCGAAAGAAGATATTAAACATCAAGCACAAAACATTAGTGATAGTGTTAACATAGAGAAAAAAGATCATGTATTGAACAAAAACAGGGTAATTAAAAATATTTTGTTATGTAATATTCTTTAATACGAATATATGTATCTCATTGTCAATTTATAGTTTGTTGAAGGTAATGCATCTGTTCACCAAAAGGCAGTTAAGAGACAACATTATTGTAAAGTTTGTGGGGAGAGTTTCAATTTTATTTTTCTCTTAAGAGAACATGAGAAAACTCATTCGGAAAATGCTATCAATTTGGAATGCGAGAATAACGAAATGGTAAGAATTGTAAAAATGATACAGTAGTGCCCACTTAAGTGTCCGCGGTAGGTCCCGAGCGTGGTCACTTAAGTGGGCACTACTGTATTTAAGAGATCCTTTATTTCTAAATGTTTCCTCTCATTTAGAGTTTTCAGAAAATTACAGAACTTCAGGAACAGAAAAGTCACATTAATAATTTTGATTTCCTTGAAAATGAAACAAATGTAAAAAGAGTATTGCCATTGGAAACAATCATTTATATCACGTCGGAACAGGTAAATAATTCAATATTTAGGATTTTATGATTTTAAAATACGTTCGATCGCTACATAATATGACTTTGCGTATTGAAAAAGTTGAAGAAAATAAATCTGGAGAACATCGAGGACACTACAAATCATATTTCGCAAGAGCAGTTACATGAAACAAACGAAAAGGATCAAACGACTGAAGAATTAAATATCTCGGAGAAGTTAGTACTTCATAATGAGCAAACTCTATGCGACGATGGCAGTCCGATTTTGTTATATAAATCCAACGATTGCGATGCGAAAGAAAATGTACTATATGTGTGTCAAGTAGAGGAACCTGTTCTTAAAAACAGACTGGGTACTAAATTCGCAAATAGTAATGAACATTTCACGTATACACAAACATATGAATCTGAATTACAAAAATCAGAGACACTTCAGAATTATAACACCCTGGCAAATATTTCTATAAATGTTACCGATATGTTTCAAAAAATAGATATATCGGAATCCAATATTAACGAACATATTAAACCTGATTTGAATATCCAAAATCATCAAGATATAAATACGGTACAAAGTGAAAAAATTTCTGAAAGTTCAAATGATGTAAATAATACTACAAATCACGATGAACCGATGTTGCGTTTAGTACAAACGGAAACAGGGGATCAATTTTACGAATTTCTTATTAATAATTTAGTTGAAAAATTACCAAATATACAGTCTGTGAAATCTTCCGAGACTAAAGATGAAAATATAAATATTCAAGAAAATACAACAAATATGTGCTTAAACGTTAAAAATTTAAACGAAGAAGTTCAACACGAACAAAATATGCGCGACGATATGCATAGTGATCTCCACTATACACACTATGAATTACAAGGTGAAGAAAAGAATTTTGTTACGAATCAGATTCTATTGGATCCACAAACTGATTTTGAGAAATACGTCGATACAAATTTTGAGGTTTTCGAGAGATTACATTACGATGATAGTTCGGAACATTTTCTTGAATTTGTTGAAAATACAGGAGTTGGAAGTCAAAGTTCAAAAATTTTAGAATGTAAGGAGAACGAGCAACTTTTACCGTTTCAAGGCTTCAGTCAAATTGATTCTATGCAAGAGAATGAAAAGAATGTTTCTATTAGCGACAATGAACAGGTTCTTTTAACTTCTCTTACCGAGGACACGCCGTGTGAAATAAATACGAATAATAACGAAATTCTTGAAAAAGACGAAGAACAGGTGCAAATCACCGACACTATCGGAAGTACTACGAAGCTGGAGGATCAACAAGAAGAATCGAAAAAGTCTAAAGTATTTTTACTAAAATTTCAATGCACAGTATGTGAAAAATCATTTTCGACCAGTTATAATTACAAGCAACACATAGGTACACATTTTGCAGACCAACAAAAGTTTCATTGTAGAGAATGTAAAATGTCCTTTGCTTGGAAATCAACATTAAATAAACACATTGCAAGTAATCATAGACCAGAAGGTCCGCAGAAATATGCATGTGATATATGTCAAAAAATATACAATACGTCTTCGCAAGTAAACGTAAGTATACGCATACATTTAAATATCCACGTTTATATTACATTTTTTTTTTTTAAGCCGGTATTACATAAAAATATTTTTCCCTATACAGGAACATGTAAAACGTGATCATTTGAAACAACGAAATCATGTTTGTTCTCAATGCGGTAAATCGTTTTTCAAGAAATACGATTTAAAAATACACAATAGAATTCATACGGATGAACGACCATACGTTTGCCGCGCTTGCGGAAAAAGGTTTCATCATCGAAGTCATATTATTCGACACGAACGTATACATTTTTAGAATAATGCGAGCTTCTGTTGTTTCTTTAAAGCAGTGATTTCCAAACTTTTTGAAAAGTCCCTCACTCCCGAGAAAAAAATAAAATAAAATTTCTATACCCGATATAAAAAACAGTTATTTTCAGAACCCCTTCGATTGCATTTGTTTACATTCCAAATTTTCTATCACGTTACTCTTAGATCGTAAAGTGGCCTCATTAGGGGTTATCGTTATGGAAAACACTGGTTTAACACACTTAGAAAATACATTATGAAATATACATATTTATAAACTAAAGTCGTTCTGCTATGACATTAAATTAATAGCGATCGACAGTGACCTTCAAGTTGTGTTCTATTTCTTTTTGTATGTTGTTCCTTAGTAAATTATTATTTTTTTAATAAAAAGGAGGCATTGAAGAATTCAAATACATTGAAATCTCTGTGTTTCATTTCTTGCCATCGTAATCCTATACTAATTTCATATGCGAAAGTATGGTAGTCGCATTACGTACTCGCTACGTCTGTAGTGCATTATAGTTTCAATATGGTCGACATCATGGGTGACGACGTGGTGAATAACGTGCAAAATTTGAGTTTAAAGGATGAAAAGGCATGAATACGATTTTCATTTGATACAACTTTTATCAATTTTATTTGTAGCGTTAAAGTATGTTGTCAAACTTACGTACTTGCAGTTCTAGAAGCATTTACAATGCTTATAAGCGGAAATATGTTTCTAGGGTTGGTTATAAAACATGTCATTATCGTATTTTTTCGTAATATTATTTAACAAGCTATATTTTTCTATCGTTTATCTACTTTTACTTGGAAAAGAATGACGTAACTTACTTCCGTTACGAGAATAACCTGATTTGCTGTTGTTATAAGAATGACCACCCATGTGAGAATCAATAATCTGATGTAATTCGAACGTTTCGTTTCCAAACGTGTGACTTAATTCTTTAATACGTTAGCTTTGTGTTTCATAAGTCTAAGCAAATGTTTACGAAGTCTTATAACGAAATTTAATATTTCTTTATCGAATTTAGGCGAAAATGATAAAATTAAAGAAAAAGAATGCTGCCGACGATGAAAATTCGGTATCCGAATTGAAACCATGGCCCAGTTATATACAGGTATAACATATTGTTTATATTTAATAATACGTGAATAAGTGAAAAATAGAAAACTTTCTACACCTGGTGTTTTCTTTAATTTGAACACTTAGAATAACAAAAAGTTAACTTACAATGTATATTTAAACATTTTTCCAGGATCGTATTGTATTGTGGGACAGACTAAAAGCAGCATATGAGGCTTCATTAGCTGAAAAGCCAGTTACTGATATAAAAATAACACTTCCTGATGGTAAGGAAGTTATTGGTCAATCTTGGCGTACATCGCCATATGAAGTTGCAAGAAGCATTAGTCAAGGTCTGGCAGACAGTACAGTTATTGCAAAAGTCAATAATGAATTATGGGATCTAGACAGACCTTTGGAATCCGATTGTAACCTTGAACTTCTAAAGTTCGATCATCCTGATGGTCAGCAAGTCTTTTGGCATTCTAGTGCACATATTTTAGGAGAAGCTATGGAAAGGGTATATGGTGGATGCTTGTGTTATGGTCCGCCGATCGAAAACGGATTTTATTACGACATGTATCTGGGTGAGAAAGGGATCTCAAATTTGGACTTTCCTTTCTTGGAAAGTCTCTATAAAACTATAATTAAAGAGAAACAGCCTTTCGAGAGACTAGAAATGACAAAGGAAGAACTATTAGAGATGTTTAAATATAATGAATTTAAGATTCGAATTATTAATGAAAAAGTAAATACGCCTACTACTACAGTGTACAGGTGCGGACCATTAATTGATTTGTGCAGAGGTCCGCACATTAAGCATACAGGAAAAGTTAAAGCTATTAAAGTTACCAAAAACTCTTCCACTTATTGGGAAGGAAATGCCAATGCAGAATCTCTGCAGAGACTGTATGGTATCAGTTTTCCAGATACCAAACAATTAAAAGAATGGGAGAAGTTTCAGGAAGAGGCTGCTAAAAGAGATCACCGAAAAATAGGAAAAGAACAGGAACTGTTTTTCTTCCACGAACTTTCTCCGGGTTCGTGTTTCTTTCAACCACGCGGAGCATATATCTATAACACCCTGATCGAATTTATTCGTTCTGAGTACAGAAAGCGAGGCTTCCAAGAAGTAGTCACACCTAACATTTTTAATAGTAAATTGTGGCAAACGTCTGGCCATTGGGCGCATTACGCGGAAAATATGTTCTCATTCGATGTTGAAAGGGAAACTTTTGCGCTAAAGCCGATGAACTGTCCCGGTCATTGTATGATATTCGATGTTCGTAACAGATCGTGGCGCGAATTGCCACTGAGACTGGCTGATTTTGGCGTATTGCATAGAAATGAAGCATCTGGTGCGTTAACTGGACTTACCAGAGTGAGACGTTTTCAACAAGATGATGCGCATATATTCTGTTCGCCCGACCACATTAAAGAAGAAATAACTGGAGCTCTCGATTTTCTGCGACACGTGTACACCGTTTTCGGATTCACGTTTAATCTATGCCTGTCTACGAGACCTGAAAAATATATGGGAGATATAAGTATGTGGAATGAAGCCGAAAAGGCATTAGAGGACAGTTTGAACGCGTTCGGAGAACCGTGGAAACTAAATCCTGCAGACGGTGCATTTTATGGTCCGAAAATTGATATAACGATTATGGATGCATTAAAAAGACATCACCAATGCGCAACCATTCAGTTGGACTTCCAACTACCAATTAGGTTCAATTTATCATACATTAAGTAAGCAGAGATATTTTGGTTATTGAAATATCTTAAAATCAATTTCAATTCGAAACGAAAGGTTAATCGTTGTAAAATTTTAGCGAATACGGGGAAAAAACGAGGCCTGTAATCATTCACAGAGCTATTTTTGGCTCTGTAGAAAGGATGATTGCTATTTTAACTGAATCTTATGCCGGAAAGTGGCCATTTTGGTTGTCTCCGCGACAAACAATGGTCATTCCGGTAAGTTCTCAGTTCGACGATTATGCTTTCCAAGTGAAAGACAAACTTTGGGACGCTGGATTTATGGTAGAGGTTGATACAGATCCAAGCGATACTTTAAACAAAAAAATACGAAATGCGCAACTGGCACAATTCAACTTCATCCTTGGTAATGGAAAATGCTAATATATTTTGTATATTACAGTCATACCTCGAATTTACATACTAATTGGTTCCAGAATAGGTGACGTAAGTCACGGTAAACAATGCATATTTGTATATGCAGATGCATAGATTAACATTAGATTAGATTAAGAGATAGGTTTTTCATTTTTCATTAAAGCCTATCGTGCCTCTACTAGAAACGATGTAAATCAGAGTATGACTGTATATAGTAACGTACTGTTGAATTTTACCAAATTTGGGGCCCAACAATGATTGATAGACAAAGAAAGAGAATAGTTATAACGAGAGGAAGCGAGATAGATATACATTTCAAAGAGATGCCGCCTCGACAAAAAACAATCATGCAGTATACAAAATGTTACTTTTCGTAATTTCGATGTTATCTTTCTGAATCGCAAGAATTGCAAGAATCCCAGCAATGCATTTGATATCATTTACAAATGTGTAAGATAACAATTATGGAAGGTCAATGTTTCCTTGTTGCATGATCAATATTTTCTTGTGTCATCTCTGTGTGCTACATGTGTTTTGCTTTCTTTTGTTTGATCGATTCTTTTTCCTTCTCTACCTGATCAGGTTTCGTTGAGTGGGGATAGGTCGTGGAAGTTCAACCGTGCATTACTATTGTATTATAAAATACCAGAATATATAATGTTTACGGTAATATATTTTCAGTCGTCGGAGAGAAGGAAGTTAATGCTGGCACGGTAAATGTGCGTACCAGAGATAATGTAGTACACGGAGAAGTTGGTGTTGAAAATTTGATTGAAAAATTTAAATTATTCAAAGAAAGGAAGGACAAAAATTGCGAGGAAAAGTTTTAAATAAATTTTTCGAACGAACAGAACATTTATTTATTTATTTATAGTCGGTAATTCCGATATTATCAATTGCAATACTAAAACGAAGGAATTTAAACATATTTTAAATGTACTAAAAAAAATGCACATGAAGATATTTAATTAAAATGCCGCGTTAAGAAAATCTCCAGTTTTTAGAAAAATCGTACAAACAGTGTTGCTTTATATACAATATTTTGCATTTAATGATTCTCAGTTCAAAGAAGTTTCAATATATTAATGTAATAGAAGTAGAAAATACACATAAATTTGTTTTAAATATTACTTGCATTTATATTTATAGAATAAATCGTGTATATGCAATTATACATATGTGAATCATCATTGAGTCACACAGTGCAAATGGAAAATCACATGACACACACCATGTTAAGCATTATTTTTAAAAATATTTTTTCCTTTAAAAGTAGTAATGTTCAAATTGTAGAAATAATATATTTCAAATTTTCTTTCCTAGTATTTTTCTAAGGACTTATCATTTTATTTAAGAGCTACAAATAACTTTTGGTTACCTTACCTTCCATCTTTGTAACAGAAACATTGAGTGTACATTGTAACTTGAAATGTTCATCTCAACGGCTGTGCTTCATAATTTATTGCAGAAACTGTCAGTATAAATATTGCTGTAACTGCGTTTGATGTCCTTCGAGGATAAATTGTTGCTGTAAATTGTACGTCGTATCGGCGTGAAGAGAAAATTTCCGTCTTTTGAATGTTTATAGCCACCTTTACAATAAAATAGCATATTCGATCAAAACTGTTCTCGATTCATTGAAAGTCGAGTTACTATTGATTTTTTAATTAATTACCCTGTTAATCTTGTTCATAGCCTTTCTTCATGTACGTTTTAACAAGTTAAATTACAATTCGACGTTGATTCTGCTCCGGTAACGGTTTTTCTGTTGAATATAAATTCTCGCGCATGCGCAACCGGTAGCGTCAGTACCGTGAACGAATGATTTATATTCAAATTTTCTTGTTTTCGTTACTGTGTGATATTTAATGATAAATTAACTTTAGTTATTTAATTTACAATTTTTTATTTATATTTATTTGAATATTGGGAATTATTATATTTACACAGTGTTTCTCTAACTTTACATGTGTTCCCGGGTATATTGTGTTTGACGAAATGCGCATGCGCCGAAGTAGGGCACTACGGTATTCCTTTTCCGGGAAGAAGAGCAAGCGGCAAGCAGGAGCTGAAAGCGTACTGTTTGGTTGTTAGAAGATGACAGCCATTACGATTTCGCCGGCCACGCATGGAATTATTCAAGTTATAAATGAAAGCAACCTGTGTAAAATTGAGAGGTACGTATCACACCAACGATCGTGTGTAATTATTTCCTGGTGTTATTCTACCATCACTGCTATCGATTTCTTGCAGCTACCTCAATGACACGGCATACAGGGAATCCATCGAAAATGCATCAAATTATAATAGCCGATTATGCAGAGATCGACGGCTTCGTATGCCATTCCTCGATTCACAGACAGGTATTATTTACTACACTCTTATTACAAAAATTTTCATATTTGCCGATCATCGTGACGTTGTATAACACTACTATAGTTGATTGAAGAAGTATCTTGATTATGTATAATTAAAATGAATTAACATATTTGTTCGTTTTGTACGAACAAAGTTTTTCAAACAACGCTCTTGCAAAGCTCTTAAACTCTTCAGTTACCTAATTAAGAGTGATTACAGAGTAAACATTTATTTTGCAATTTTGATTCAAATTACAGGTGTGGCGATGAATCATTCTGCTTTATTTATGTCCGCGAGAGAAAGACTACCAGGTTTATTGCACGGTCAAATATATACATATCCTAGTAAAAGATGGAGAAAAAAACGGCGTCAGTATTTAATGCATTATTTGCATCCAAAACGAGGACCAAGAGGAGACCCAGAGGACTGCGTTGAAGGAGTAGAGACTGTGCAGCATGTGACCGATGATAGTAAAGAATCGGTTGTTCTTAAAGGTAAATATATTTATTTTGTATTTAACCCCTTAAGCGATTCACGAATTTAAAGAAATCCAACCCACAAGTGTTTACCTTTTTTTTTTTTCTCTCTCCATAAATTCGAGGATATAGTAAGGCATTAGTTACTAGTAACACATTGTATGTTATTCTCAATTGCATTACAGTAATGCCCACATAAGTGACCGCAATTCTTGGAAGCCAAACGGCTTTAGGATGTCGAGCGTAACTTGACGCCAGTCGTTATCGATACATTGTATAGTATATGGTTTTGGGTGTCAGCTCTTTTCTTATCACCATTCAATTTTGAGAAGTGACCATGCCCACATAATGACCGCGGCCGGTCCCGAGCGTGGTCACTTAAGCGGGCACTACTGTATTTCAGTGATTCTGATGAAAAATTATGCAAAATTTTCTAAATTATTTGTCTGTTCGCGAATAAACTGTACAGTCATGGGCTGGATGCTTAAGGAGTTAAATTAACAAAATAATATTGTACTTAATTCGTCTAATGTTTAACATAATAACAATTAGTTTTCACAGATGAACATCATAGTAAAGATGCATGGTACTACGACGAGCAGGACATGCTCGATATGGACACGTACGACGAACCTGATCCGGAAAGTGACTATGATTACGAAGAAAGCTACAGCAGTAAAAGAAAACGAAGAAAACCCCGCGGAGCTGGTCATCATCCTACACGAAGTCACCCACCTGTTACGGACAGTCCCGGGAGCAAACGTACGAAGGTAAATTTTTAATACGTCTCGTTATCATTGACAATGTTGCATTTTGTTATAACCTTTGTCGTGCAATTTTAGGCAGCAGATTATATTAAAAACATGATTAAATATTTGACAAAATTTTCCTCCCACTTTTCTCGTACATATTTATAACACGACATATACATTTAGTTCACCGTATACGTTTATTAAATAGGGTGGGGGACGTGGGCGCAAAAAAACCAACTATGATGCCGCCGACACTGATAAGCCATTCGTTTGTGACCGTAAGTTTAATCATAGATACAACTACAAATGACCACTTCCTGTTACTAGATTCATTATAAATATTATTACTATTAGTTTTATCAGTTGTTATTTCGATTAAGAAAAAAAGTGCATTACGTTAGACAATTTGTTAATTTTATTAAATAACTATATTTTTATGATGCCTACGTATTATTTTACAAGATACGCAAAGGTTACTATATAATATATATGATATGGAAGATCGAAATAAATTATTGAAGATTTTAGTCTTGGTTACCGCATAATTTTACACTGGGGATGGTGATTGAACATATAATGAACTTTATAACGTGGAAAGGTGCCCTTTAGTCTTCTATTAATTTCATATTGATTCAATACTCTTTGCTCAGAGAAATTGATCAGTACTGTATTGACTGCTGTTTTCCTTCAAGTTTATGAATTGCAGTATATTACAGGATACTCCAGTCCTTATCGTACAATTTGTGTTTGTTCAAAACCTTGTATTCCATTTCTCGTTTCCTATTTATTGAAGTATGAAGAGACATGATATGGTTCTGAATGAAAGGCAAAGACTAATTACGCGCATTAAACATTTCAGAAATTTACGCGTAAAGAGTACGCAATCTGTTCGAACGTTAATTATTTCTACAAAATTGTATACAACAATTTTAAATCTTTCAATGACTTTAAATTACATATTGTATAGTTCTATCCAAAGATAATCACGCCCTTGAATCTTGTATTTTATTATTAACTCACACTCCGAAAATTATCGTCTATTATTCGCAGATTTGTGAACGGGATATACTATCCGACAAAATTGTCGTACAGTAGTTGATAATTTTTGTTTGTTTAGTGCAACACAGAAAGTTACGCTTAAAATGTGAATCAAAGAAGTGCAAAAACCCAAAGTAATTCTTGAAACAATAACGTCGCGCTTGTCCAAACCTTGAAGGAGTATAATAGTCACTACTAATTTGATCGAACTTTTTCAGACACGAAGTCTATGAATTAACTCGAATGTGCCTGCAATCTGTTTACTTCTTGAAACCACTCCTGTTAGATTAGCAGAAAATCTAAAGACATTTGGTCACGAATGATAAGCTCCGACTCTAAATGAAATTTCAGAATATCGTTCTATGTCTCGGCCAGGCTTACGAAGTTGACCAAATATCTTCGGACTTAATACTACCTGCCAATAACAGAGCAAGAATGTACTGGCTCACACTGTAGCGAGCTCATTCTGTAGGAGTATACAAGCATCAAGCCTTGCATCGTATTAGTTTTGCTTCTTGGGCTGGAACTCCTTCACTGCTTGTCCACATATAGATTCGTAGGTGGATAGGGATATGTACTGGTACGGAAGGTGTGCAAATGCTGTCCCTGACCTGTAAGCTTCTCTCCTAGAATCTTTTAACCGCCGCGTTTTCTCAGAATTTAAAATACTATCGTTCGCAATAAGAAAACAATATTTTTTTAAGCATCTTCGTTCGTTACACGAGAATGTTTCACAATATCACCTTGGAACAAACTAATTATTCAAACGATAAAATTCAACGTTGTTGACCATTTGGTAATATCAATATATCACTGCAAATTTCATCTAAAAAGAAAAGAAAACATATACCTATAAAGAATATAGAATGTTTTACAATATCACCTTAGAGCAAACGAAGTGTTTAAACGATAAAATTCAACGTTGTTGACCATCTAGTAATATCAATATATTATTGGAAATTTCATCTAAAAAGTAAAGAAAACAAATACCTGTAAATAACATGAGTAATTGAAGAGTCGAAAGTAGATATAAAAAAATGAAGAATCAGATCAATATATCTTATTCTAAGATGAAATGAAAGAAACATGTTCGAATAACCGATAAAGATGTTTTTATATTCTCGTTAAAGCAACAGACAAGCGAACATGGCGGTTAAACGAGTACATCCTCCCAAACGTCCAACCAACTCGTCGACCAAGATTTTTCTCATCATGGACGTTGCATTGGATGGTTTGTGGGAAAACAGTATTTGCACTTTTGCAGTATGCAGCGCACGGTATAAAACCAGACCTGGTCTGGTCTACCATTACGGTCATTCCCACTCTACTTCCTCCGGTGATCCTGCTAAGGAACTAAGTCCCAGTCCTGCCGAAGTTGAACCTAGGAGCGTTGCAGACACCGCTGCTTCGAACCAGCCAGGTTGGAGCCAAAATCAGCTCAGTTTTCTCACTGTCCTTCAAAACTTATTGCTCCCTGTTCCCCCGTATCACTTTTTCGTCCGATCACCTTCATCTTTGATCTGATCCCGTTCACGCAACCCCGTTTACCCGGACCACTCCCCCAAACTTGATGGAACTAAGTATATTTTCTTTACATGTATTGCGAATGCATGCATTGCAAATAACGTAGCGTAATTATTTGTGTTCACTCTTCCATATACAGCGTTCTTTTCTTTTCTCGTACGTATGGAATTTTCTTCTTGCACAACTCTTTTTTACGAAATACTTGAATCTGTACCGAGCTGTTATCATACGGAAAAGAAACCATTAAGCCAGTATGATACGAACGATCTTTTCGTTACTTTCAGTATACTCTAAAATTTTCAAATTTATATTTCTCGATGTATTATGGTATCGTTGATTCGAAAGAAAATGAAAAAAAAAAAAAAAAAAGCAGCGATTGTTGCGAATGTTTTGCAATAGCATGCTTCTGCAATCGCGTCTCGAGTCCGTTGTCGTCGCGAAGAGGCGATTTTCCGTCCAGCCCTTTAGATCGGTAGTTGTTCTTGGGCGAGCAGCCTCTTGAGTGTTTGGTATGTGTGTGTATTTTTATGTAAAAAAAAAAAACAGAAAATAGTTTTCTGTATTCTTCTTTAGCATGACGAATACTGATTTAGTAAGTACTCTAACGGCGTTGATAAATCTTCTCTCTCTATTATATATTTTTCTTTTTTTTTTCTCTTTACGTTTGCTCGTTTTACGCTTTGTCTGAATTCCTAGAGCGATTTTGGCTTCGATTTTCCTCTCGATAAGCGCCTGCAGCTTCATTAAATATATACGTATCGGAGTTTGCTCTCCACGAGTCGCAAAAGTAGTTCTGTTACGTTTGTGCCGCTGTTTTGTCTGATCTTGGAACGGATACTTCGACGTTGTATCGTTGGAATTGCTCTTGGTGATGGAATGCATTGATTGACGTAATTTGTGCACCTTGTTACGATTATACAGTATGTTCTGGTAGAAACTGGCTTGCCTTAATATCTTCGGTATTTTAAACAATAAGAAGCAGCATTGCTCGCGAGTAGTTTTATAACTATGAGCGGAACGTAATCGAAGTTGGATTAATAACAGTGTCGTTATTTTTGCGATTATAATTAATTAATTGTCTTTTTTTCATTCTGTTCTTTTCTTTATTTCTCACTAGATACTTCTTTTTTGATTACATACATAATCTTAATATAATAAAGTCGTATTATTATTATTTATTAGTCAAGTTTTTATTATATCGTAAGAAGTCAAATTGATCTTGAAATCTCATGTAAATCTATGTTACGTCCCTCTCAAAAGGTATACAACTTCTCTAAACGATGCTTCTTTTTATTACTCAGAATAACGAGTATATTAAAATTGCCTGTTTTTGGCGGTACAACCTGTATATTATTTGACTTTTTTTTTCTTCATTGTTGTGCCAGTTCTTGTTTTTTAAAGACTGTGATGTTTCGAATAATCGGTTTCGATTACTCGGAACGAACGTCCCGCAAATATGGATGAGTGACTGCCTCTCGAAAATTTCTTCGAGTTTCACCGGTTTCGCGTGATTATTTTTCTTTCGAAGTCGAAATAGATTCAACTAGCCGCGCAAGGCCATTTCACGAGCGGACAAAGTCACGCGATATTCATTTTCATTGCTTCAATTTCTTATTGATTTAATAGAAACGATTAGATTTTAAAAAGTTTCTGGACAAACTAGGCGCTTATAGAACATTTGCACTAACAGATAAACGATAAAGTATACAGAGTGTTCGGCCACTCCTGGGAAAAATTTCAATGGGAGATTCTAGAGGCCAAAATAAGACGAAAATCAAGAATAACAATTTGTTGATGGAGGTTTCGTTAAAAAGTTATTAACAATTGAATTAAAAAATTTCAAATCATTCTGAAAAAATTATTTTTGATTGCGGGGATCAATTACAATCATTTTTGGTGAATAGACATACCCCCGAAATCCTACGCACTTTCGAGAAAAAAATTCGAGTAGGTCAGAAATTTTTCGGCGGAAAAAAAAAATATCAGATCATTCTGGGAAAATTATTTTCGGTTGAGAGGGTCAATTACAATCATTTTTGGTGAATACACATACCCTCGAAATCCTACGTACTTTCGAGAAAAAAATTCTTTACCGAAAATATACTGTGTGGCCGGAAATGTTTCTATAACTTTTTAACGAAGCCTCGAACAACAAATTAGTATCCTTGATTTTCGTCTTATTCTGGCCTCTAGATGGCCAAATACTCTGTATATTGCACATAATGCAGTGCAAAATTCGGAAGTAGCATAAATATTTTATTATATTGCGTGGTCCTTAGGATAAATAACATAACAAGGTACAGCGAGTCCTCGAATTACGCCAGTTCTTTTCTCCAATTTGTCTATCGTTTAGTAATTACTAGACAAAATTTAACAGTATGCATCGAGGGCTTGCCGTACATTTTGTCTATATTTAAAAAATAGAATTAAAATCGAAACTCGAAGAAGATTGAGACGGGCAGTCGGCGGTTTGTCGCCCCCCCATCGTTCGTGTAATCGAATCGATTATTGCTGGCCATTGTCACAGAATTGACTCTTAAATCATTGTCTCTAAGCCAGTGTGCATGGTCATTAGCTTGTGACGCAAAGCGCAACTGGGTATGTGGTCGGTTTGTGATCAGGTGGTACACGTCGGGGTCGTCAGAATGCAACCTCATCGAGTACTTCGAGTCCCTCTCCCGCAGCACCTTCCGCGTCCGCTGCGGGAGCGTCCACGCAGCCTCAGCCGCAGTCTCAGCAGCCCCAGCAACCGCAGCCGCCGCAGCAACAGCCGTCACCGCAGACGCAGCAGCAACAATTGCCCGCTGTGCCGGCGACGGTGGCGCCAGTATCGCCCACCGTTCCACCCGTGAAGGAGGAACACCTGCCGGCCGTCTCGTCGCCTGGAACCGCCGTCCCCTCGCCGTCCTCGGTGAGAACGGAGGGTCCGCCGACACCCGGGAACAATGAAAAAAAAGCTGGCAAATCAGCGCAACCCTCCCCGTACTGCGACTTCTGTCTGGGCGACGCTAGGGAAAATAAAAAAACCGGCGGCTCCGAGGAATTGGTCTCTTGCAGTGATTGCGGTCGCTCAGGTAAGCCAGAGGAAAAGATCAAGCGCAAGTATACGCGAAGAACGAATCACAATTAATGTAGGTGGCGTACGCGTGTTGTTCACCGCCACGGTATATAAATTGGGTAATCCGCGTGTCGATCGAGCCTTCTTCCCCGAAGCATAACTGCTTACTTTCGGTGGTGTGTATACGTATTACCGGCCATGTACGCGGGGGACTACCTCGGCGAGTTCGGTGAACGTTTTTTGTTCCTAGTTTTCAATTTTTATTCGTTACCGTCGGTTGGGGGTACTTGGCAATAGTAACTTGGAATTTACTCGCTTACACGATTTCTAGATCAAGTTTCAGCAGTACAGAGAATTTTTACGGAACATTCTTCCCTATTGAGAGGTAACAACTTGCTGTTGTTAGAAGCTTTGCTAACATTATAATAATATCTCATTGCATTGTTCGTTGCAGGTTGCCCCACTTGACGGTTTTCTGAAACTAAGTGCTATGGTCACACCTGTGCATATTTTGTACATTCTTACATATCAAGTTTTCTAGAGTATTTTAGACGCCCATATTCTGTGTATCTGAATCTACCTCAGGATGCAGAAGAATTGAGCGGATTTTGTTTTCCAAACTCTTTGAACTATCACTTTCTAACTGTGCTTTCTGTGCAGCAGATCCAACGATTCAGTGGATCGTGTACTCAACATTTCTAGCAGTTCCATCATTTCCAAATAGGTGCAATGTGGTTTCTCCGAGTGCTTCGTGCCCTTGTCTTCCTAAAATATCAAATTATTTTCACTTATCCTTAATTACAAAGTTCGTAAGAAATATTCAAATATCCTTTGTTTCTCAGTATTTGATTGTTTAAATAAAATATTAGTTACTCTCTTCACCTACGTGCTTTTCTCTTTGAGCAGTCTCTGTAAAGTTTGCTAGGGAAATATTACAAAATCTGGGCATGATCGGAAACCATTGTCGTTCCTTAATAATAAATCAAAATTAGAGAAGTAACCGGGTGGAAGGGCATTTTATATTAGAAACGTTACTCGCGCATGTAAATTGATTTATTTATTAATTCCGTGGTTCGGAAAATTGTATAAAAGATTAGAAAAAATAGAAATATGGCGTTCCGTTTGGTAATGCTGGTAAGGCTGGCTCGTCAAACTTTTGCACAATTTGGGTATTAATTAATCGACGAATGTATAAATAAGCAGGGCGCAATTTAATTTTTAAAAGATAAAGTAAAATGCGTGCAAACAGGGGGGGGGGTGTTATGGTCGCTGTCTACTCTGTGTACATGGTCGATAGCGTAGCTTGTTTTCTCTCCTGTGTCTCCTTACGATCCGCGACTTGTGTTCGCACGGTAATAGTCGAAATTATCGCCTTCGTTGTTTCCTCGAGGTTACGGGTGATTTATTATTATCAATTGGATGTCGTTGAAATACGTTTAACGGTACGTCCAAGCGCTCGAGTAGATTTGTTTTCGAATTGTTATCGATAAGGCGTTCGACGAAACGGTTTTCAAGTTTATTTTTCATACCACCGGGCATGGATCGTAACGGAAAATGAAAAACACGAGAAAAAAAGGAAAGAAAGAATATTTTTGGGTCGAATAGGACGATAACTAATTGCTGCGTGACATACGTTCGAAACCATCGTTAAGGGTAATTCATTGTGTGCCCGTGTGTGCAATAATTAAGAATCGATTATCTGCACGGTTCAGGCGACGGATAAAGAACAAAGAAATGGTTACGAGCTTTACGTACACTAGTCAAGGCACGAAAAGCAAAAACATCACATTGTCAATGGTGCAACTTGTCGCATCTGAGTGATAGGAATTTTCGATAATTCCTTTACTGCACGGATCAACTGTGATTTATTGTAATTCAATGATTAGTTTTTAAGGGAAAATTTTTACGAAGCAAAAAAAAAAAAAAATAATAATAATAATGTACAAAAAGCGAATTCAACACGAAATACGAATCTCGTTCCGGATATTAACGAAAGAAAAGTGGGGGAAAAAAAAAAGAACCGTCGTCGACGTAGTAACCGAATCTACTGTTTACGAAGTTAGATGAATTTTCGAAGAAAAGAAAGAAAAGGAAAAAACGAACAAAATTCCTGTTGCACAGTATCACTAGAGCACATATTGAAGAAGATGTGTTTGTGTTCTCTGTTTGACTACAGTGTAATCGCGTTTTTACGTTATTGTGTTGGTAATCAAACGAGTGACGAAAAACAAACAAAATGAAAAAAAAGAAAAAACGAATGAAACTTGCCGCGAAATAATCGTTCTATAATCGAGAAGTTTTAAGAGAGCTTAACAAACGATACGAGTATATACTTTATATAATTATATTATCCAGCACAGTCGTGAATCGTTTAACGAGAGCAACATATTTATATAGTAAGACGAGAAGAAGGTCGAACCAATGTTTTCGATATTTCTACGTTTCTCGGGTCTGTAAATATTTTCTTTGTCTCTTTGCGTTTCGCATATTTCTATTTACAGATCGCAATACACGACACCTAAGAGCGCAGCACATATAACGCTAGTTAAAGTATTATCGTTCATATACTCGAGCAAAAAGAGATTCATTTTCGCAACACGACCCAGAGGTTCGTCGTAAATTTACAGTTACATTTTCTTGTTCTGTTTGAGATCGATGCACCCGCATTCTTTACATTACACCGTATAGGTTAAACGAGTGCTCGATCGAAGCTTCCCAATCGCGTATGAACCTGATTTTTTTTACATTGAACTGCATCTGGAAACTCGTAAGTCGGTTTCGCTATCTTGTTTTTTTTCTTTTTTTTTTAATTATCGAGTTACTGCAGGGATTTTTAGTCCATGGTTTTATTTGTTTTATCGGTGATATCTTATCATTGAAGAATTCTTTATATTTCTATCCCTTTGCAAAGAATTCGTGATTCCATTTTCCTCGGTTAAAAGTTTTAATTTTGAACCGAATTATAGTAAGTTTAATTCGATTGGGTGCTCGATATGGTAACCCAGACGAGGGGGGATACCCTTTGGAAACCTCGAGCGGTCAATTCATCTGGTTCTGGCTTCCGGTTTACTTCTGTTAACCTCTTCAGGTGATTCAGTTCACCTTAATCGAATATTTTTCACCGTGAAATATCTTGAAGTCAAACTGATTTCTCAGAAAATTCATATGAGTCTTTTATACGTGTTCAGATGTGGACACCGCGACGAAGTCGGACGTCTCTTACATATTATCGCCTATTTAGACGTCTGGACAACTTGTTTTCAAACTGGTTAACCAAGAGAGCGTAGAAAATACATTGGGTCCAAAAACATACAGTCCTCAGCGTTTGGCTGGCTGTTTTCACGCAATCAAGTCGCTATAGCGACGGTACTTTTTTTAATATTAAAAGTTCTTTCATTACAGAGTCCCTGCAGCAATCGAATAAGTCAGCAAAATATTTTCCCTTTTTAACGACTTGCGAACGTTTCTGTATTCGTGTCGAGAAAAATCGGTGCTCGCGATCATTCGAAATTCTAACGAAACAATTTTTCAACGCGTTCTCCATTGTTTATAACACATTCCATCGGACCTGCTGCTCTTATTAAAATCTTCGGTTTCGTTCTGGGCATTAATCGTTTCGTCATGTTACATATAGTGAATGTCTTCTGCTATTGGATCGTCATCCGTTGACGAGAGAATATTTATTGCATATTTAGAGGAACAAAAAAATAGAAAAGGAAAGATGGAAAAAAAACGCGACGGTAAGCGGTAAACGTACGCATAGAGTATGGTAAAAGATATATTCTTTTTCATGTGTTTTATTCGAGTTAGGTACGATTTCGACGATACGTCGAGTCGAGAGAGAGAGAGAGAGCGAGAGAAATGGCGTATCCTTATTGATCCTTGAGTAGAGACTCGATATAGCTTAGTTTTGTACAAGCTTTGATATTCGTACAAGATATCGTTCGAATAGAATTAAAAAGGACGTCGCATCTAACAATTCAATGTAACGATACCTTATGAGTTTTTCGTCTCTTAGAGTGAATCGTCATAAATCGTATTTAATTCCGTGGATACGTTCGCGTTCGTTCTTCTGTTCTTTTTTTTTTTTTATTTTTTTTTTTTTTATTTTTTTCTAATGCTAACGTTATATATTATAGATTTATGGATACACAAGATGACGCGATTTGTAACTCGTACGTACTCTCGTCACTACTTTCCCTTGTTATATTGTCTTACGTCCGTAACGTGCGACGAGCGATACAGTGATAGATGATTAATTTTACGGTGCGTCTGATCAGCCGAGTATATGCAGCGTTCTCCGCGCGGAACAACAGTTTTCTAGATGGTCGTTAAGTGTTACACCTTAGTTCTATATCCTTTAGTCGTTCCCCGAGATACACTTTCGAGTCTTGACAAAGCAAAAAAAAAATGAAGCAAAAAAAGAAAATAAGAAGCAAAACATAAAAAAAAGGAATATGTGTTACGAAAAGATCTTAGAGTATCCTTATAATTTACCACCCGGTAGCGGCCATGCGGCAAGAGTAAAATTCGAAGGTGCATCACTATCGTATCTCTGGATACCCTTAAATATTTACCGTAAGAAAAACTCACATGGTATAGTATAAGAGAGGCAGAAAAACAAAAGAAGAAAATGAAAAATACGAAAAAATACGAAAGCATGCAAATAGTTCCTCCTTGTTATATAAAATCGAAGACTTGTTATTAGGCAATTTTTAATTAAGCAATACCCATGAGGCTTACAAATCTAGTATTTAAGTAACGCTAGTTATATATAAATATATATGTATATGTATATATATTATATTTATATACATATATATTATATATATGTATATGAAATGTGATACGTTATATGAGTTGCGTGTTTGTGTGCGTGCGCGCGAAACAGAGTGAACAAGTAAACGAGAGAACAGCGTGAAAGTGGACGAATGAAAGATTGTGGAGGTATGTGAGTAAAAGAGTGAGAGTGTGCTGGTCCGCGACGTTTATATTGTGCTGCGCAAGAAAGAACGTGAACTATTCCAAGGTACGCACCGCTATTACTTTACCACCTTACTATTCCAAATAAAATAACAATATGTTCAAGAGGTGACATCAAAAGAATCGCAGATATCATGAAATAAAACATTCTGTGCGGAAACATAACAAAACGTATCATTATTCCGGACGTTTTTAGTGCTGAGGAAGGGTGAAAGTCATTAGTGTATCATATTAATTATGATCGCACGCGTTTTCATATTGATAAAAAATTATTGATGTTCAGTCGAGTGCTTCTGTTCGAATTGAAAAACGAAAAAAAAAAAAAATTTAATGTAATCTGATACGAAAAAAAAAAAAAAAAATTATAGAAACGAGATAGCTTGGAGTTCACTGTTCTTCGGCACAAGATAAATGTCCTAGCACCTTTCTACTCGTCCTAAAACAGTTATCCTGTTCCGTCCCATATGCGTGTTCCATGACCTGGCTACGTTCTTGTTATAGGGCATCCGACTTGTTTGCAATTCACAGCGAACATGATCGTTTCTGTTCGCAAGTACAGGTGGCAGTGTATCGAATGCAAATGCTGTTCCATTTGTGGCACCTCTGACAACGATGTGAGTATTTATCACCATTTTTCGGGCTCCCTTAACGTGGAGGAAAAATACAGTTTGCGTACGCTTGCTCCAACTATTTTAGCATTTTCTACGGCTTATTGGGAACAACGACATTCGATTGATCTATCTTGGTATTCACTCTTTAGAGTCTATTTAAATAAAAAAAAAAAAAGAGAAAGCATTATTTAATGAAATAAAAGAAAATTATTTGTGAAAATATATAAATTATAAACTTACCACTAGAGTAAAAGAAAAGTTACTGTTGTATTAAATGTATATAAGTAATCTGCAAAAAAACATAGTTTATTATTGTTTGTTACTTTTACGAAGTTATATTTTGCGTACGATTAATCATACTCTGGACATAAAAAGGTTAAGCATCTCTGGTTACCTGCTTTGCATTAACGTTAACGTATTTCGACTTGTTTTCACCTACGCTCGAGAGCAAATCTATTTTCGTCTGCAAGGTCATTACTATGTCGGCTGCTATAATCCGACTAAAATGAATTGCGTACTCGAGATCGTTCAAAAATTCCCACTATGCCATTATTAGTGTAAAATATACACAAGCAAATAGCTAAAAAGTTAATAGAATGGTTTCTTAATTTAAAAAAAAAAGAAAATAGTCGGAGCAAGATGTGCGGAAAACTATTCTGTCTCTATCGGCACTTAAATTACGCTTACCAACGAATTGCAATTCAGTAAGGAGACATACCGTTTTAAACTCCTTGCGTTGATCGAAATATTACGTCGCGTTTAGATTTCTTGTTGGCAACGATTAGCCATGTCAGATTACTTTCCGAATAAGTGTACTTTAGGGTATCGCGCTCTAGTCTGAAAGAAGCAGAGACATTTATATTGAAACGTCCATCGCGTAAAATCACTCAGAGCCAGGTATCGTTGCAAGCTAATTAATTATTTCGCGAACTAAACTAGGATCAGCTGCTGTTCTGTGACGACTGTGATCGTGGATACCACATGTATTGTCTGTCTCCACCTCTTGCATCTCCTCCTGAGGGCTCCTGGTCTTGCCGTCTGTGCATAGCAGAATTTCATCACCGTGATTAAAGTTACTTGTCTCGTAGATAAGTCACGGATTTTTAATCTATTGCTGTGGTGCAGAGGCCGTTTTCGAATTAGGAGAGTATTCGCAAGCTCACTTTCCTTAATAGTATTACGTAGACGCGGATGTACTTCCAATTATCGAAGATATTTCGTTGGTAAGGAAGTTCATTACAAAGTTGGCAGCATTAACGATTTATTTCTTTTTTTTTTTTTTCTCTCTTATTTAAGTTCCAATAATAAGACAAAACTATACGAAGTATTCGTAGTGTATGCTGCGTTAGATATCTCAGGCACTGGTGATCTCAGAAAACTAAAAGTATAATAACTACGTATTTATAATTTTAACGAACTAGTGTTTACCAGTAGATGTATAAAAGTATGTCGTTAATGGATTGTCTTAATATTTCTATAAAAAAAAAAAAAAAAAGCAAACAATAAACAAACAGTCTTTAAGCTCACCGTTAATGTTAATGGAATTAATGGATAACCTTAGTGTATCAAGGACTCTGACAACGGATTGTCGACGAATTATTGCATTTTTCATTGAAATGGAACAAATGTATTTTTTATTAATTTTAGAAAGTCACGTAGTATCTATGGAGATATTACTATTATAGAAATTTTAGAAATTAGTTTGAGAATTGCAGACATAATGGTACTCTCCTAGTTCTAGGCCAAATTTACTTTTAGCCATTGACATTCGAAGTTTGGTTGCTTTTAAAATTTTGAAAATGCTTATATTTAAAAGAATTTGGAGATCTCAAATTTTCATAAACTCTTAGCTCCTCGCTATTGACTTGGTCCGATCCAAGAATTCACAAAAGAAGCAAAAGTAAGAAAAAATTGATATTCTAGGCAATTGATATTAATAGTATCTGTTTCATAAATAAAGATAAATAAGACACTGTCTGTTTATCTGTACGTATCATGATGCTAAAGCTTTTACACTTAACGACACAGCCATTAGTAGCAGTATAGCTATGACATAAAAACTCGCAGTACAGCAGAAAATTATATTCTATATTCCCTTTATTGTTAGTTCAGTATTTTTATATTTTATATATTGAATGTACTTAATTTAAGATACCGTGGTGATATTTGGTACTCATTGATGTAATTCTTTTTTTTTTTATTCAGTAATCTTAGGGTCGCTTAACGACACAGAATTGTGTACTAGGTGTCATGAAAATTAGTCTATAAACATTTTGAGTTTGAATTGATTAAACGTGGTGAATTTACATTTTATATTGCTTATTTTTAACACACTGTATGCAAATTTGAATAAACATTAGTTTGTACAAACCGAATCGCTAACTTTAGACAGTCTTATTGTGTGCCATGAAAAATTTTCCAAGTACAGGAAGATAATACATAATACATAACGATAGAACTTCTTTGGGTGCTATATTTCAGGGATTAGTTTCCCTTTTGAACATTTTAGGATAACTTTATAAGATCGGAAGTCATGTTGTGACCAAGGAAAACTATATTCTATAATTACGATAAATAATATATATTTGCGAAAGTGTAATATAAGGTATTCATAAGTAACAAACAATACTCAAGAAAAATATAAGTTTTTTTATAAAACATAGGATTTGTATAAATCTATGATTATGTGTACTCATTTTATATTATCCCATAAGCAAGCATAATTCTGATGGAGTATTAGATGCGAATCCACGATTTTGTTATTACATATGCGTTAATCAATTTCGACTAAAATATCAGATAGAGGTTTTCGTTGAAGAGCAGGCACTGTAGCATCCTTTGCTGGATATCCAACTGGCAGTAGTACAACAAGCTTTTCATTAGGAGGACGTCCAAGAATGTTGCGGATAGCAGGTCCACAATTTAAAGGAGTAGAAGTCAGAGTTACCAAACCTGCATACTAGTTTTAAAGTTCATGTATTAAGATCCATACTATTCGTAGGGTACATGGTATAAGAAATTATAGTGTTATAACAATTATTACCTGTATAGCCGTAAGGAGAATACCACATGCCATGGATGTGCTTATTTCATTGTAATAGTGAACTTTTCTTTTTCCATTGGGCAAAATTCCGTAAGTTTGTTTAAATATGAGCAACAAGTAAGGAGCAGTGGTCAGATATTCTTTGATCCAATTAGTTTTTAATGGAAGTAAATCAGTGGTCCACTTTACTCCCATTCTTTGTTTGTAGTTTATTTCTTCTTCTTTCTCTACAATGCATCTTATTTGTTCCTTCACCTTTTGGTTTGATACCGCTACGAATGTCCATGGTTCTGTATGTGCACCACTAGGCGCAGTGCCTAAAACAGACTTAGATATATAAATAGCATTGTGAATGTAATTACATAATATTGTACCTGCAGCTTTTATTATCTCACGTATGACTTCTTTTGGTACGGGGTCTGGACTGAAAAATCTTATAGTTCTCCTAGCCGCTACTATTTTATAAAATTCAGATGCTCTATGGAGTATCTCTGCTTCAGAGAATTTTTTATATTCGTACAGAATATGTTCTAAGTCTTTTGGTAGTACAGGTTCCTCGCTATCTTCTAAACTTTCTTTGCTAGAGTCTAAATATTATTAGGTAATAACGTTTGGTTTCATTTCTATTAAAATATATTTTGACTAAATTATTATTGGGATTACCTATTATTATATGCTATAAAATGAAATGGATTTGACATACTGTTAAATTAATTTGTATTTTAAATTATAATACGTTTTTGAACAATTCTAATTTCGCAAATTCGAATCTGGTGGCAATAATGTCAAGTATTATTACCTTCTAGTTGCTCCATAGTATTATTTAAAATTTCAGATCTATTTTTGTCATTTTTAATGAAAAGGGCGCTCTTCTTCGATACTTTGTAAAATATTTTTAAAAAACTATAAGAAATAATACCGATCAGCACGTGGTGCCAGTATTTCGTCCAAAATGGTAACAATTCAGAAATCATTTTAAGAGAAATTCAAAATTCGTTTCGACGTTGAAATTGCCGTATTCTACTCGATTCTTTACACTATACAGAAGGTTAACATTAAGATAAGCGTTAATGCGAGTGGTGGGATACATCTGACCTAAAACAATTGAGATTGTCATATTTTAAATGCACGATGTGCCCCATCACTCGCACTAAAACTGTGTAGATTTAATCATTCGTTTATTTCTATCAATCATTTACGATACAACGAAATACTTAAGTACTTGTGTTTTCAAAGTATTATGCCTAGCAAGTTTCTGATTTTTAAAGCGTGAACGAGAACGGAAAAATTCAATTCTTATCGTACGATTGTAACGATCGAATCGGTCATTTGTCGTCTGCACATTTTCGTTTCGATACAAAAAGAATACGATCTACTGAAAAACGTCTAATTACATTTTAAGCAATATACGATAACGATTTAATTATTCAGCGTAAGGAACTCAGGCTATTAAGAATTACGATAAATTCATTGACGCTGGCTTAGACAATGACTTTTATTAACATCTTACTATTGTTAAAGACTTGTTATTACAAATAAAGTCACTGTTTACTTTTAACGATTTATTATTTATTTCGTAAAGCATCGTGAACCATTATTCGCCTCCTTTGTGATTATCTTTCGAAGAAAGTGATCGTTCGTTTCTCAACCGAACAGATTGCATTTAATAATAGAGGATGATTAAGAATGCTTTCGCTATAGCGGCGGTACGCCAACATCATCTTATTGCTACGGTCGGTAATCGGTCGACAGTACTGACCCACCAACCGAAGCAGTCGGTGTCGTTCATTGCGCGATGCGGATGCGCAGTATCGAAACGTGCGTGTCGTCGTTGTCCGTCAACACGGACGGAACGAAAATCGTGGCAATCATGTAAAACACGATGTCGACGCGAATTTTTCGGATCGTTTGTCGATTCTTTCAATGATCGGTACAATCGGTGTCTCCGTGCACGCACGCACATACGATTACATTCGTTAATTGTACTTGTCAACGAAATTGTGTCGCGCGTATACGTCGCGTACGGTCGACGCGTACGTTTCGCGAACGGAGAAGAGCAATCGTCGAGCCGTACATTTCGCGAAATGTGTTTTCGTTGAGGAAGACTGGATTGCATCGCGAGTGACATCCAAGTTTAACCAGGCAAGAGGGGAATGGAGAACGCCATGCAGCCACCACTTCCACCGCCACCCCCACCCTCGGAAATCCTTGGAAATACCAGCACAGAACAAACGGTCACCCATGTCTTGACATTTGGTATGTTGCATTATGTTTCTCGTACGTTTTGACACGATTGTGGAAAAGATAAATTGCTTATCGTTGATTACGATAACGTACAATCGATTGGCATTACAATAATTGATAATATTAGTTTCCGCTACGTACAATCGATCACGAAAACATTCGAATAACAGTATAGTTTTGACACTATCCTGTGTATATTAACACATTGCTAACCAATCGAGGAATTATCTCTCTTTGCGGCTTACTGCGTTTTTCTAGGTTACAAACATGTATAAACTTTGTTCTTATACCAACTGTATGCTATCTAAAGTTATAAATAACATTAACAGGACCTGGATAAGAGTTAATTTTTTAGTAAAACTCTTTTCATAGCTCTGGTAAAACTGAAGTCTTTCTCTCTTTCTCCAATCTCCATGTTTGTATCACTCTTTGCTAATTGGTATTTTAAAATGATGAAATGTTTGTTTGAAATTTCAATTTATCTCTTATTTGAGGAGAAACACACTCCTATAACAGCTGGAAGGAAGAGTACAAGTGTGAATATATTCAAAGCAGAGAGAAGAATTGTAAGTTCCAATAGTTGATTTTTAACAATGCGAGGTATATTCCTTTTCACAGAATGTGTGAGTTAAAATTTGTTCTCCACATTTTTGGCGAAGACAAATATCTTGACATTTTAAAACACTGACTAGAGAAATCTGATACAAGTACAAAAATTGGAGAAAGATTTAAGTTTTATTAAGACAACAATCTAAAACACAAAGCATGGGCTGTCCAAAAATTCTTATTATATCATTGCACAGTGCCTCACAACTATTTCCACAATTTCCTGACCTAATCCCTATTGGATCAAAAAATTTGAAAAAACTATAATAAATTTGAAAACCATTAATTTTTAATTGAATAATTATTCTTTGTACATTGAAAGATACACAATCAACTGCATAATGGAGTAATTATGCAGCAGGGTAGAATTGTATTTTATGTTGGAAATATTATATAAATTTTTTTCATAATTTTCCTTACTATTTGAAGATTATGTAACATGATTTACTGATAGGTGTGCCAGGTTATGTTAAAATCATTTTTATTCTTTACAGTTGACACAAAATTGTTTTATTAGATGATTAAATGTAAAAGTATTATAATATATTCTGATAAGAATGCAAAAGCCTTGAACATCTTCCTTTTCTGTAAGCAAAGGAAAAATTTGTACACACAGTTTCCAGAGAACAGAAACAACACAAGCGTGTGAATTTCTAAATTTAATGGTCAGTGAACAGAAGGTTGCATGCAACATTGGCTCCTATTTATTGATCAATGAAATAGAATCATATAACTATACTAATGAAATGCTTATCACCCTTTATTGACACAAACAAGAGAGTTTAAACTAAATCTGTTGCCTTTTACAATTAGATTTTTGTAATGTACATTACATGTTAGTCATATTTTATTAATCTATTAGAACTGTTGGAACCATTTTTCTACCAGGACTAAAATTTACTTGAGTATCTCAATTGCAATTTAAAGAAAGATAAATTTATATATAATGGATTAGCGTAACCTTCCTTTATACTTTGAATTGATTGAATGCATGTACCTTATTTATTATTTAAAAGTATATACTATATGCATTTTTTATTGTTTAAAAAAACTACATAGATCAGAACTACCTCTGAACATTGTTGAAAATGTTTTCTTTGAAGAATAAGAGAACGAAAAATGTGGTAATTTGTGCATCATATAACAGGTATTGCGTAATAGTTATGAGGTATTCGCAATGTTTCGGGAAAATTGCATTCGTAACTGACAGATTCTCAACCCAGAGACTTTCGAGGTTAACGTTGTTGTTGTATCATAGAAGTTCGATTGTAATTTAATTATCTGTCTATGATATCCTATTAATGGGATTCTCCTTAACTCGTGGCACAATAACAACATACAAGGAAGCGGTCACGTCGATACATTTAAAAATAAATAATTGCTTTTGCGTTTACATTTCCGTCTCCGTGCATGTGCATGTGCATTAATGCGTGCGATTAATTATCGACGGAGGCGCAGCTTTATCGATCGAATCGGTGTTTCGTTTATCAACGATCGATATATACCTACCGACATGGTTCGTGTATGTAAGTTACTTATTAATTTGTGTCAATTAAGGTAAAAGACCGAATTACTGTCATTCTAGCTATTTTATTTTTCAATAAAAATTTTTTATATTGCATAATATATTTTTATATAATGTTCTATAAACAACACTAAAATATTGCCAAATATCGTTCGTTAATGGGTCTTTTACCTTGACGGTATTCGATCGGGTGACAATAATTGGATTAGGGGTGACGGTAATAGCTTCCACATTGTTTTTTCATAATTATTGAATATGTTAACAAAAACAGAGATTTTTAGAGTCGTATTATTTTTTTTCCTTGCAATAGAGGCATCGAATGATAACAGATACAAGAAAATACATGTTTTTGATAAATAAATAGTAAAAACAGTGCAACGAAGTCATAGTCGATCGTTCGAATGACGATAATTAGGTCTTTTATCCTATATCTTGAGTTATCGTCGCATTATATATATATAGGCCTATTCGTCCATGAATATTTATAGTAATTAATTGTATGCCGTAACGCACGAATGATGTGGGTCCTAACGATACGCGTACATATACCATGAATCATAAACGTTGCTCGTGTTCTTCGAAGGCGCATGCCTCTACCATAGTACTTCGAACTCTCTTCAGTGTTGCCCAACTACGATACTCTTTCCTTATCCTTAGCCAACATTATCTAGCCACTTAAGTTACAACACATGGTAGGGAGACACGATTCGGAGGGGACACGATACATACGATTCACGACGTTCGGATTTTCTTCGATCACGTTGCAACGATTTTTTGTACCATCAAAACACAGTTATTCGTCACGTAAAAAAGGAAACACGTGCACGAAAAACTTTAAACATAAACCCTCTTTATAACCATCGTTACTTATTCAAGAAGTCTTGAGAAATATAGGAAGCGTAACCGTTGTACGTAAGTATACAATTTCTCGCACTATGTTATTATTATACGGCTTTATTACATTCGTAGTGTATATATATTGCCATATAAAGAATAACTTATTGTACAAACGTAAAAAATTAAAAATAAGACAAATTCGAACGGGATTCGAGCTCTCACACAAAAGAAGCAGTAGTTTGGTCATTGCACCGTGGACTTCAATGTCCTATGACACTAGGAAAGAATGTTAGAAGAAAGCATTATTTCGATAATCGAACAATATTACTCAAATTTGAATTTTTAAACACCGCCGCGTTGTAAATAGAAACAAATCTGTAGGATACGTTTTTCCGCGAGGGGTGGTGTACACCTAGGAAACGGTTAATTCGATTCTTGTGGAATCGGGAAATAAGATTAGCCAGTATTACGCAACGAGTCGGGCACCGGGTACGCTTGATCCGTTAGTGGGCGGGTCTCTGTGTTTTCCAAATCAGCTGTTAGTCGCCGGTGAAGGGTGACTCGTCGGCCCCGTAGTGGGGGGCGGGCGTCAGTCGACTGCGAGACTCGGGCCGGTGCGCATCGTGTGTCTTGTTATCGTGCGCGCCTCATCCCACACTCTCTGCGCGTATACAACACAGACAGCTTTGTGCGCGCACGTCGTAACACCGTGCCCACCGTGTTTGTGGCTGTGCAACGTGTTCCCACCGAGTGAAAGTGGAACGAGCCGTCGCGAAGGGACTTTTCAAAAAGTCACGCTTCGATATTTCACGAGGT